CTCTCTCCCTGCCTCCTTCCTCCTTTACTGACCGTTACTCTCACCAGGATGTTGAACTGTCATATTGGTGCTGGCTTTTGGGGGTGTACTTGGATGTTGATCATACACCTTGCCAATCATTGGCTGCTTCGTCAATGACGAAGTGCTGATCAAGTACTGCTTCGTCATTGGACCCAGGGGCGTCGCTAGGCCCTTTTTAGGGGGGCTTCAGCCCCCCTAAACTTCTGCCTAGCCCCCCTAAAAATGTGAGATTAATGTAGGCTACACAAATTCGTGTTCGCTTCAGTCTTGTTATAATCAGATTCAGCGCATTCTTCATCTTCAATCCGCAGCGGCGCCGAGCAGAGAGCACGTCAGAAACAGAGGACAGGGTGTGTGTGTGTTGGTGTTCATGTGTGTGTTCATCTGAGCCTCATTGGTCTGTCACTGCTCGTCAATGTCAGAATATTTCAGATGACCAATCAAATCAAAGTAGGCGGGTTTTATGTTCACAGAAGCTGCTGAGCGCGAATTTTAACAGTGCGAGTATAGAGTGCGAGTCGACGCGTACGTCAAGTGCGAGATAAGATGTAAGTACTAGCTAAACTTAACATTTCATATTTTACTTTTTTTATGTCATAAATGTTAAACGAATGACGAAAAATAATCAGGCAAACTAATATAGTTTTGTCTAATTTCGCCATTTTGAACTGAAAATAGGCCTATGTAACGTGACTCATGTAATGTAATAATTAGTTTACAAGAAACATTAACAAAGCCGTTTTCATTGTTAGGCACAATATTAATAATGAATGTGTACATATTGAGAATATAATACAAATTGTAGCCTTTAGTAAATTAAAAAAGCTCAGCTTTAGGATGGGAAGAGAAAGGGATGAAGAGACTGAGAAAAAAAGAAAGAGTGATGGAGATGAGAAGAGAGCAGGTATTGACAAAAAATCTATCTAATCTATATAATGCATTTAATAAACTTAATTACCTTTAGTAGCTTTCAGTAAATAAACTGAGAAAATGATTCATAGGCAAAATCAACCTATCAGTTGACCCTAAGTTTACTTTCTTCACTGACAGACAAAAATGAAAAGCCTATATCAGTCAAAGCTCAGCTTAAGGAGGGGAAGAGACAGGGCAAGATAAAAACAAAGAGAAAAAGAGTGTGATGCTGATGAGGAGAGAAAAATAATCAGCTGCCCACTATCCAAGTTTTTTGGCCTTCAGAACATCTTAAAATGCACATATGTAGATCAGAGAAATCAAAATTTTCTCGGGGAGACCCCGAACCCCCGTATTTGCCCAACCTCACATTTGGGACCACAGTTATTATAAAACCGTGCCTTTGCATCATAATGAAAATGGTTAATAGTGAGCTTTAGATCCTAAACTAAAGTGTTACATTTTTTAATATTTTTTTAAAAAATCATATTGGGGGCTTAGCCCCCCTAAAATGAAAATCCTAGTGACGCCCCTGATTGGACCATTGCTATTGAAACAGTTGCCACGCCTCTTCACTCTCGACCACATCGAACACGCTCTAAGGCATCAATATTTGCCTCGGTGGAGCACATTCAAATCATTCAGCTATGATTATCACTTACATAGCAAAGGTTTTCACATAACAAACAGATATACAATAACAACTTAAAAAAACACTAACAACAGGTAGCATTATACAATGTTTCCTTTTGTAAAATGTCTTAATCAATGAATGCATTTTGTGCCAAAGCAATGATAAATTATCCTAAGTTTAGCCCACACAGACTGCTCTTGCATGTATATGCAAACTACTGAGCATGTGTTTTAAGATACCTCATTTATAAAAATCCACAAAAGTGTCCATAACTGAAGAAACACACTTATACAATATCGGCAATCTAGAAGGCAAGATACTGCACCGAAATGTACAATGGTCATATATCAAAATATAACAAGACTAGCATTTTATGTGATAGAAGGATAATTGTGTAATTCAATTGCATACAGTATACCTTGTTTGGTCAAATTTACATCCATTTTGCAGCTTCCCTCATGAGCATTTAAAGCACCTAAACCAGGGGTTCTCTACATCCACTTTCGCCTGCCTGTTACCTTTCTTTCTGAGATAGATGGTCTTATTTTTGTGAGATACCCGGGTACATGACTCTACCATTGGAGAATGCGTAAAAGTGTGTGCCTTGATAACCAATCACATTACAGCCTTGATGTCATTTAATTTCTTTCAGAGTTTTGCGACAGTCACATACTCTCTTTTGAGTAGGGTCTTATTTTGAATAAGTAATTACTTTATGACCACTAAAAAGTTTGTTCTATATGCGTGTAGTATGAATGTAATACATCCGCCATGCTGTCATTATCATGGTAGCAACCAGCAACAGTTGCGTTGCTTCACTGTCATTCACAAATCCTCTCCCGTGGCTCATGGTGTCTATCGTAGGCACGCTTCAGAATCTAATTCAGAATCAGAGATAGTAGGTCATCCAGGTACTTTTTGCCTAATCTTTTATGAGTACAGTGATACTTCTTTTGTGACATACTGTACTTCTCCTACTATGGAAGTATGCGATTTCGGATGCAGCTTATGCCTGGGACACACTAGATGATTTTCAAATCTTTACCGATTTTAAAACTGTAGGATACTACAGACATAAGTGCAATTTCAAACGATTTTTAGTATTATAATCCTCCAAATGCGAACACTAAAAGATTCGTCCGGACCGCGAGACCACACACCTGTCAATTGCATTTTCACAGTGAGACGAGAAATCACGGAGACTCGCGAGATCAAACGTGACTTGAGAAGAAAAACAAATGGAGGACGATTGACGTCATCAGCTGATTCTCTTGCTGTCAGTTTTGTTTTACGGAAAGAAAAACAAAGGAGAAAAAAAGGAATATGGGTGATCTTCTTTCTCAATACTCCACTTACGTGTTATGTTTGTGGCTGCTAAGTTTCAGCTATAGAAGAGGGCAACATCGGGTTTGCTCGCTCTCATTGGCTATCGCTGGTATCAAGTCAGAGGCAGTCAGCCCAATCAAGAGATTTGGGATTGTGCGGGCTCCGGCGGGATCGGGAGCAGTAAAACAATCATAATGTCACCGCACAACTGAAGATTTTTTTGGACAAAAAGTCAGTTGTGAGAAGCCTTAAATCAGGCCTTTTTTTAAAATCCATAAAACACATGGTTTTACGAAGCCCCTAAAGGGACATGGTGGTGGGAAAAAATATAAGAGGAGGAAAAATAATAAGTTGATACTTTTGCATTCTCTCGCAAATTTGTTTTGTTCCCCTGAGAAACTTTGCGTTCTCTTGCTAAACCTTTTGAGCTCTTTTTAAGGGAACACAAAGTTTCCCAGCAGAACACAAACGTTTTTTCGAGGGACCCCCAAAAATGTTACCCAAGTACTTTAAAATTCCTAGAGGTGACTGAGGACTGCCAAAACATTCATATCTGGTGACTTTGGATATCTAGAATATCTATGACTTTTTATCATTTTTATCTATTCATTTTTTTTTCATTCATATTATGTAACAAACATTAATGTAAGCATGTGCTTCAGATTATTTAATTAGTTCAATTTTACATGTTAATGAACTGTAATGGGCTTTGCTAAATGCCACGGTTAACTTTTCTAGGTATCAAAATTGGCTACTGTTTGAGTGATGACAATGGGGGGGAAGCGTTCATAGATGATGACTAAATTAAGCCACAAACATGCCAGATAATAAGAGATAAGTAAGCATTATTTTAGATCTGAAAAATGGGATGTCCTCATTCAACTAAATTCACATAATAGCCTACTCATTATCACAATGATCAGCGTAAGCCTGGTAGTTTACCTCTCCTCAGCTTATGAATAATCGTCTGACTGAGTGCAAGTCGAGGATTCCACTGGTAAAAGTGAAGGAGGACGAACACAGCGAGGGAACGAGGCCAAGGCGTATTTTAACTCTTACCATAGTGCTAAAAAATGGTCTAGCGACGCCACTGCTTCAAGTGTTGGCAGCGCAAGGATACCAGAAAGCGACTGTTTACAATTTATCAACGATCCACTCACATATATTATGAAGCTCTGCCGCTTAGAAAAGTAGTCATACAAATAAAAAATACAGTTCAGACAATTTTACAGCTCAAATAACACACATATTGTAAGGATGAGTTAATATTAGAACTTTAACAAAAACTAAGCTTGACATTTCTTCTTTTCAATACTTCAGAATGAAGGTGCTGTCCATTAACCCACACCGAAACGCTATTTTTAGACAATTCATAATTTTAATTAGTTTATAGGTGTGACATCTGAGTGTCTTTTTAATAAATAAAAAAACAAGACCTTCTACTGTCCTATTTTAGACTGTCATATCACTAGTTTATATCGCCATCTAGTGGTGGGATCAAAGACGGCTAAGTCGAGCAGTTCTTTTTTTTAGCATTTGTAATATTACTTGAATAAATATATATTTGTTTTATTTTAAGACCACGCTCCATAAAGCCACATTACAATATGAAAAAAAAGAATTTCCTATATGTTTAACCATATTATTATTTATATTTAAAAAACCTATGTTAAAACATTTAAATAAAACATACTTTCAGTACCCACTTTACATAATCCAATAACATATAAAGCAAACATTCAAATCGCAGTCTGAAAAGTCAACTTTTATTGTGTTTAGCTGTGTTGAAAATTACAGTAACAATGCCAAACAGTTCCTACAGTATATCACACCTTCGCTGCAAACATGAGGTCTATTGTGGAAAATGTGATACAAATATATGTGATACATTGCACAACACATCTAGTGACATTTTCCCTTTAAATTGTATTCATTTTTCTGCAATCATGTATTTATACAGTCAAGAATAATTCTTTTTCAATACACCCATAAGCACACTTTCAATTTACCGATAAATAAATAGCACACTTTTCTGTCATTGAGAAACAACATATAAACCGTACTTGTAAATGATATCTGTTTCTTCTCATTTGGCTTTGTTAGTGCACAAAAAAAAAAAAAACATAGTGTGAACATACAGCGAGCTACGTTCTTACATTATGTGGAGTGTGGTTTGAGTGTTGTGAGTCCTATAAATAAGTTATTTTTGAGCATGTGCAAATACAAAAACACAAGTGACAGAAAAATATGTATTGTTGCCCTATATTATTGAAATATCTGGCATGTCTTCCCTGTATATCTTCCCTGTAACCTGCCACAGTGTTCCTTCAGAAACAATTCAACTCACAACAAAGTGAATAAATTAGTTGCAAACCTGAGAAATTCATCTGAAAAAAACCCCAAAAAAACCTATTTCAATGTTTGAACGAAAGAGCAAAAGTGAAAATCTGAATGTACAGCAGCACAGAAAGGCAACAGCTCTCTGCTGGATCTTCAAGCACATTCACATCCATTCCAGAGATTAAGGCAACTGTGTATGAATACATCCCAGAACAAACAAAAATATCTCGTACGATCTGTGAACTCCCCAACCACAATGTAATTTCTCGTCATTTACACTCGAAAACAATGCAATGCAGTTTAACCAAATGCCCAGATAACATGCTCCATCTTATTTAAATTACCATTCTTTGAATCATAATTTAAATTAAAACCAACAATTACTCTGTACATGCCTAAGGAGGATCAGCCCTCTGTTTCAAATATTTTAAAATGATTTCCCTTTTTCAGAGATGAGACAACGAGAAGAGACAGATCACTTGTCTTTAGTTTTGTTGTCAAGCTGGAAAAGCTCCAGGATTTCAAGCATCGCCTGTTTAATGATACTTCCAAAGCGGTGAGAATCCTAAAAATAACAAGGAAAAGTGAAAGAGATGAATATATTATCGCGATTAATCGCATCTAACATGAAAGTTTGTGTTTATATAATATATAGATGTATATACAGTACATTTATACTGTATGTGTATATATATATATATATATATATATTATAAACGCAAACTTTTACATATTATATGAAACAAACTTTTATGTATCACGATTAATCGCATCTAACATGAAAGTTTGTGTTTATATAATATATAGGTGTATGTACAGTACGTATATACTGTATGTGTATATATATATAATATAAACGCAAACTTTTACATATTATATGAAACAAACTTTTATGTCTCACGATTAATCGCATCTAATATACAAGTTTGTTTATATAATAGGCTATATAGATGTATGTACAATACGTATGTACTGTATGTGTATATATATATATATATATAAACGCAAACTTTTACATATTATATGAAACAAACTTTTATGTTAGATGTGATTAATCGATTTGACAGCACTAATTATATTACAAATTTTTATTGCAAATATTAATGATTATATATATGATATTATATACTGTATTATTATATTTGCGATAGAATAAAGCAAACTCACAGTCTCTGGGCTAGAGTGTTTGCTGGATATGTGGAAGTTGATGAGGTCTTCTCCAAGAATAATATATGATACACCATAACCATCATCAGCAACCTAAACAAAACACATATTGGTCACATACTGGTAAAAGAAAATCAATTAATATCTAATAAAACACTTTTTTCTTTATAAACCCTGAAAACATGTTATTAAGTTACGTAAAAAGTCTAAAATGCGGCCTAATATATATATTTATATATATATTACCGTTCAAAAGGTTGGAGTCATTACGTTTTCTTAAAAAATAAATGAATAGTTTTATTCACCAAGAATGCATTAAATTGGTCAAAAGTAACAGAAAAGACATTTTCACACAAAAAATGAAGCAGCACAACTTTTTTTTCAAGATTGATAATAATGAGAAATGTTTCTTGAGCAGCAAATCATCATATTAGAGTGATTTCTGAAGGATCATGTGACTCTGAAGACTGGAGTAATGATGCTGAAAATACAGCTTTGAACACAGGAATGAATACAATTTTTATAGATATTCAAATTTAAAATTCAAATCTTTTAACTTATAATAATATTTCAGAATATTAGTGTTTTTACTGTATTTTCGATCAATTAAATGCAGCCTTGGAGAGCAGAAGAGGAATAAATGACATATATTAAAACGGAAAACAGATATGTTAAATTGTAATAACATTTCTCAATATTACTGTTTTTACTGTACTTTTGATCAAATTAAAGCAGCCTCGGTGAGCAATCATACCATAATCAGTTATAAACAGTGATGTATACCAACAGTTGCATCATTTCCAGGTAGGACACAGTGTTAGAAACAAGATGTTGAACTTAGGCACGTCCCGATTTTGCCAAGTTAGACGCGTTCCTGGGTCAACATATTTTGCTGATTCTGGAACAACATTCCTGTCCGAAATTTTAGTCCTAACCCTATCCCTACCCCTAAATCTAACTCTACCTCTATAAAATCAGAGGGAAGTGACAGCTGAATAACACCGATGTAGAAGCACCTAACCCTAAAACCGTGACCTTGTCCCTCAAATCTGATTGGTTGATTGGAGTGTTGTTCCAGGTTGAACAAAGATGTTGATCCAGGAACATGTTCCACTTGGTGAAATCAGGTTCTGCTTGAACTTACCGGTCCAAATCCACCTCCGCTGGTGACATATTCTGGATGTCTCTTTAAATCAAACAGATCGACCTGTTGGAGAGGAGTCTGACTGGTGGACAACCTCCAGGGCTCGGACAACACCTGGAACAAACCCAACCCGTCACAAACTATACAGCTTCCTTATCTCAAAAAGGAAACGTTTTTAGGTTAGGGGTGGAACGGCACACAAAATTAGAACAAAAAGTGTAGTATGACCACTCCTTTAGTTTAAAGTGCTTACTGTCACCCCCCTTTTTTTGAACAGACATGACAATGCACATTTCAAACACAAATGGTTGTAATTCAAGAATGCTTTGGAATATAGACGTAAGATTGGTCTTGTTTTAAAGAAGACGTTTGGCAGATTTATGTAGAAGTGAAATAAATTAAGAAAGTGAAACAGAAAAAGAGTTATAGAAGTTTGAGTTTATGGAAATGTACAATGTAAAAAAAATAATTATTCATATTTTATATAAAATATATATTTTCAAAATCTGGGCGACTCTAAAACTGCAGAAAAATCAAAGCCAAAAATCTGAATAGGTTGTGTTTCAAATTTTAAGTTGATATCTCAAAAAATGAGCTTTCAGTAAGATTTTGTTTGGGCGCAGTACCAAACTTTTTCACTAGATAACAACCAGACTCCATTACTGCCCATTTAAGGGCGCCTCCATTTCCATATGTGTTTTGAGTGATATGAACCATTATTTCCACAATTTTCATACAATTTATGAAGTAGAGATCCTATTCAGAAGTAGTATGGGAAGTTTGGCAGATTTTGATATGAATTCAACCTCTAATAAACACATACAAAGAACACGCATGTGCGTCATAGCTCGCTGCCACATCACAAATGGTGAATTTATTACTTTTTTCTTTATATTTAAAACATTTTCAGACCTTTTTTTCTAAAACAATTGAATGGATGCTATCTTTTGAACTCTTGGCATGAAAACAAACTAGGTTTCTACAATTTTGTTCATGATTTTTCACATTCATTGCTATTTCAAAATAAAGGTCTGAACACGCCTTAGGCGTATGAAAATATTCTTGTTGCAAATTGATGAATTACGGCTCCTCTGTAATTTCTTTTGAAAATCAATCACCAAATATGGAAACTAGAGATTGTAAGCTTTCAAATGATATATAGTTTGTCAAGATTACTTAAGGTTTTTACTAAGATATTATTGTTTTAAAAATATAATGGCAAACGTCCCACCTGTGGGACGGTGACAGTTAAGTTAATATCAAGTACATCCCATGTTTAAGACAACTTGGATGGTGCACTTATTCCGACAGAAGCTCACTCTGTAGACTTACTTTAGATGTAAACGATATTGTCGGTATTAAAACGAAAACGAAAACGCTTGGTAAGAATACGTGTGCCATTGCACCCCTAGGAAATAGCACTTTATTTTGTGACGGGTCTCAAACCTCTTTGAGGAACGCTGAATCTTCGCCGAGGTACTTGGACACTAAGTAGAGGCAGAAAAGATGGCGGTCGATGCCGTTTCCTGTCATGGCCAGTCTGTACATATCCTGGTGCTTTTCTGCTGCCGCTTTCAGCAGCGTCAACTTCTCTTCTCTCTGAGAAAATGAAGAAAAGAAACATGTTTGAAATTAGCAAACACACTCAACACTGAACCGAGCTGGCCATTTAAATCAACCCCACCGTCGCTTTGTCATTCATCATGGCTCGGACGAAGTCGCAGGTCTGAGTGGTGCAGGAGCGCACGGTCTCAGTGCGGCCCTCTCTGAACAGACGCGTCATGGACGCTTCGTACGTCAGGCAGAACTTGCCTTTATCCTGCAGGAGGAAGAATTGAACATATTGTACAGAAATCTGATGAGGAATCCACAAAGATCTAAAGAATCTCATGGCGTGTTCACACTTGTAATTCTCTTGGATCTTTTGGTCAGTCCTTTTTAGGGTCGCATCTTGTCACGTCCTATTTTTGGTTCGTTTGCATGTCTTTGGTCCATGTTGCTTTCATGTTTCCTTCGAACCGCACCGCACCAGAGTTAGTTTGAAAGTGGGCCGAGATCCCATGAAAAGGTTGGTCTCGGTCCGCTTGTTTGGTGCACCAGGGTTCGGATGGCAGCGTTCACACTTATTCAAATGAACCGCACTAACAGAGCAATCGCACCAGCGTTCATTTTAATTAGGGATGCACCGATATCAAAATTTTGCCCAATACCGATAACCGATAATTCGCTATATTTGAAAGCCGATAACCAATATGTTGGCCGATGTATATAAATCCAAATTTTTATATAATTTTTGAGAGCCTGTTTACAAAAGCAATAATTTTATGTAGCCAATATGACAGACTTAACTGTTTCACTTAGCTGTATTTTCCTTTTTTGAAGTGATTCCAATCATATTTTAAGCAATTCAAAACCATCTTGGCGAACAGAGGCGTCTGAAGGACATAATCCATTATTTATCAGCTTTAATATATAGCAGGCAAATTTTCTTATGGGGCCGATTACGATAACATTAAAAACGAACATATATCGGCCGATACCGATATGGAGGCCGATATATCATGCATCCCTGGGGTGCGTTTCTCGTAGAATGACAATGAAATCAACTAGCTAGTCACGACTGTTTCCCGAAACTCTATTGTCGCCAATTGGTCGTTCAACCACGTTGGTTTCTGACGTCACGCAGGTGGAGGAGTAATAACTTATGTAATAACTAATAATTAATGCTAGATGTTTTGCTGTAAATTACGAACATGGCATCTGAGGACTAGTTTTTTGTTTCTCAGTTATTTTGCTTTATTTCCAGATTCAATCATAAAAGACGTAAATGACATTTGTATGTATTCTAAATAAAAGATATAGATTGTGCTGAATGTCAGCTTGCTTATTTGGCTCAAGATAAGGATTTATTGATTTCACGTGTCATGCAAACAAGAAACTCTGCTTCTAACCACAGGTCGAGACGAGCTGTCGTTCAAAACACACAGCTTTGCGATGCAGTTTGCGAATGTTCGTTGGAACGATGGTTTCGGGAAACACCGACCCGTTGAGCTACGCTGATAACGACAGAACTAACGAGCGACCATAGTTGGGTAACGATGCTTTTGGGAAACGCCAAGTGTGAACACACCCTCAGATAACCTCTCGTACTCTGAAGTGTGCCAGCTGGAGGGCGATCTGAATAAAGCCGTCAGGGCTTGTCTTGCATTTCTTGATCAGGCCTTTGCCAAAGTCGCTGAAGGGGAATATGTGCATGTCCACGTCGTCCGCCAGAGTTTGGGCCACTTTCAGAGAGCTGTCGATCACTGTCTGGCACTGTGAAGGAAAGAGGTATTTCTATATTAAACTATGAAGAGCAAGTAGAGCATGTCTAAAGTGCACAATAAACATCTTAACTGACCTCCTCTGGGATGTCCCACTGCAGTCTCTGGGGTCCCGGGAGGTTGGGGTGGGGGTTTCCTTTGCAGTGTCCATCCTCACTATAGCCCAGTCGCACTGGATCCGATGACAAGACATGCTACCACACACATACACGCACAACATTACATTACACGCACTAATGTTCAAAAGTTTGGGTTCAGTACCATTTTTGGGGGAAAGAAATGAATACTTTTATTCAGCAGGGATGCATTAAATTGATCAAACGCAACAGTAAAGACATTTATAATGTTACAAAAGATTTCTATTTCAAATAAATACTGTTCTTGAGACATTTCTATTCATCAAAGAACCGTGAAATCTATCAAATCGAACACTTCATATATCTCAATATTTCATTGGTTTCTTCACCTCCCACAAATGGCCAACGACGGGAGCATCGGCCCAGGAGTGTTCTGCATTCAATCCCATAGCGCCGTTCTTGAACACAATAAGGTTGAAAGACTTGTCGAACCATCTGGAGAACAAAAAAAAACACACACAAAATGAAGTGAAATCATAATTAAAACACTTTTGTGTTTGGGGTTGGTAAGCTTATTTTTTATGTTTTTGAAAGAACTCTCTTCTGCTGACTAAGCCTGCATTTATTTGATCAAAAATACAGTTAAACAGTAATATTGTGAAATATTACTATAATATACAATAAACGTAGTATTTCCTTATTTATTCCTGTGATCAAAGCTGAATTTTCAGCATCATTCAGGGTCACATGATCCTTCAGAAATCATTCTAATATGCTGATTTACTGCTATTATTATCAATGCGGAAAACAGTTGTGCCGCTTAATATTATTGTGGAAATCGTGATTTTTTTAAGGAATATTTGATAAATAGAAAGTTCAAAAGAACAGCATCTATTTAAAAATACAAATCTTTGTAACATTATAAATGTGTTTACTGTCACTTTTGATTAATTAAATCCCTTTGCTGAATAAAAATGTGTTCATTTCTTTCAAAATAAAATATCTTACTGACCCCAAACGGTGTACATTCAATTAAAAACGAAATGATTTCTTGAAAGAAATATATGATGTTTCGAAATACGTGATTTTAAAATCTAATTTAATTCTAATCAGGAGAGCTCTTAGTCACCTGTCATAACACTTTCCATGCAGCAGAGATTTGCCGTATCTGTCCAGCGACTGGACCGGATTGTCCGGCTCAAAGCGCTGTTCGCTGTCGTCCAGAGTGACAAAGAAAGCGGCCTTCTCCACCGCATCCAGAGACTGCTTGTTCTTCCCGCGACTGAAGAACTGTGTGCGGGCTTTGGCCCAGGGATCTCTGGGTAATGGGGAACAAAAGCATAGATATAATCACTTGGCTCGCTGCATGTTCTTTAACTAGCTTTAATCACATTTCATTGAACAGAAAGAGAGGAAATACAGTTTCCTGGATGAAAGCTGAGATTTGTAGATTTAGCAGCCACAGAATGTTCTCTTCCCTTAATTAAAGAAGCCGTATTATGCTCTTTTACAAAGTCTTGATTACAAAGTCTTCTAGAAAAGGTTCAAAAAACACATTCTTTTTTCACATATTTGACATTGTTGCAGTGTAACCGGTCCTACTCGACCCAGTCCGAGCGGGACTCGAACCAGGGTCTTCGGCACGCTAACAAGGACGCTAAAGACCGCAACCGGCCAGGGGAGTGAGGCTTACACGCACAACTCTTACTGGCCGTTCACACTTGCTAAATCTGAAGGGATTTCAATTGGATATGCATAAAAATCAGATTTGGACTGACAGAGTGAACGTAGCTTAAAGCAGCACTAAGTAGGAATTCCGTTTTTGTCAAACAGCGACCCCTAGAGTCACTGTGGAGTACTTGTACTGTCGTGAATAGCACTCACGCAGAGATGGCTCGCACTCACGGCCGGATCCCCTCCCCCTGTACACCGGTACCTGTTCAGTAGGATGGACGCTGTAACGAATGGAAATAAGGTATGGCCCCTTTAAGAGCTGCGCGCGCCCTGTTTAACTGTCGGCAGTCTGTATTGTATGTGCGCCTCGAACACCACATGTTTACGGCGCCGGTTTATTTCTGTTTGATGCTCATTTTATCAGAATTTTATCAGATCTGTTTTTTGCCGTAAAGCAATTCGTTACCTCGCGAGACCTGATATCACACGATACTTCCTAACACTGAGGCCGGCGGCTCGCCGGCCCAAAGTTGCAAGGGTGGTTTTGCGGCTCACAGGCACCAGGGGGGTGCGAGACGACCACCATTCAACACGAAATCAGTAATATAAACATTACAATGACTCCAAAGCTGTTCGGTTAAGGTAAAAAAGTTACTTAGTTCACCTTTAACACACACACTAACGCAACTCAACCAGGGAACACCCCCCCTCCATCCCTCCCTCCCTCCCTTTTCCGTGCATATGTTCTGGACAGGAATTATTTAAAGGGTTAGTTCACCCAAAAATGAAAATTCTGTCAGTAATTACTCGCCCTCATGTTGTTCCAACCCCGTAAGACTTTCGTTCATTTTCGGAACACAAATTAAGAATTTTTTTATTAACTCTGAGAGCTGTCTCACTCCTCCATAGGCTTCTATGTAATTAAAACTTGCCGGCCCAGAAAGTAAATAAAAACATTGTTAAAATAGTCCAAGTGACTACAGTAGCTCAACCTTAAGTTTATAAAGCGACGAGAATACTTTTTGTGCGCAAAAAAACAAACAAAAATAACGACTTTATTCAACTATTAGTTTTGCTCTCTGTGGGCCTCGAGTGAGTTCACGTAGTGTAACAGCGCAGCGCTTCTGTGTTGTACTTCAGAACGCAGGCTCACTATTGGCCGACGCTGGTCATGAGTGTGATGCTGGCCAATAGTGAGCTTACGTTCTGAAGTACAACAGAAGCGCTGCGCTGTTACACAAGTGAACTCACTCTGAGGCCCACAGAGAAGACAACGAATTGGACTATTTTAACAATGTTTTTATTTACTTTCTATGCCGGCAAGTTTCAATAACAATAGAAGCCTATGGAGGAGTGATCCAGCTCTCAGATTTAATCAAAAATATCTTAATTTGTGTTCTGAATATGAACGAAAGTTGGGATGGAACAACATTAGGGTGAGTAACTACTGACAGAATTTTATTTTTGGGTGAACTATCCCTTTAAATGAGGAATGCTGTGATGTGTTCGTTCCCAGAAGAAAACTCAAGACTGTGAGGAGTTTCAGGGAGTTCAGAAACTGTGACACTGATATAGAGAAGAACTCCTGCTGGAGCGACTGTGTAACTTTGCAGACCTTTTTCATGCTCACACAGCAACATTACACACTAAAGAAAGCTGAAAGTGTAAACAAGCATCATAGCATAACTCTTTAATGCAATCTCATTGACCATTTAAAATCTCTCTCGTTTTATAATTTTACCAGGCTGCCAAAAGTTAAAATATTCAAAAAATAAAATAATAATAATAAAAACGCCACCTGTCGCCCGCTGTCAAAGCGGCCAGCTTCTCCTCTCCTGGCTGAGGCTCGGACTTGTCCATCAAGATCCTCTCAATCTGCTGCTCAATTTCTCGAGGCAACAGCAGCCGCCCGTCGTAAAACATCCACACCTTGTAAAAGCGGCCCTTGTGGAACACGGCGATGTGTTTGCTCTCGTTCACATGCTGAAGGACGTCTGATGAAGAGTGTGGACATGAAGGATGGAGGTGTACAAATGCGCATGAAATCAAAGTAACATTATTCTGTGGCTCATACAACAATTATTTGTGCAATTGAAATTGTGTTAGGCTGGGTTAAATGATTAATGGTGGTGGGCAGAAAACAATGATGAGAAAAGCAGGTGAGAAGAAAGGCAAAGTACAGAAGAAAGGCCAAACGCTTGTTTTCTACACTGAACACAGACCGGTACATTAAGACACGTATTACACGACTACTAACCAAATATATAAATATGAAATATTGACTTGAGTGAAAAAAGATTTATGTGAAAACAGTCAATTATACAGTTTAGCTGCAAAAAATTATGCGAAAATATTTGGATTAGGAAAAAAATTGAATAGAACTTTCCATAGAGCTGTGTAATAAAAATGATATTTTATTATATTATACAAAATATATAATTATAATTTTAATTGATATATTTGTATGTAGTACACGTTTGATTATACTTGATTATACTACATACATATTATATATTTTTATGTAGTACTATCATCTTATTATTACTATGAAATAATTCATAGTAATACATTAGTAATACATTATTTAGTATTATTATTATTATTATTATGTGATCTGATGGAGAATATAATACATATGACATTTATTATTATTTGGATTTCCAATAGACTCTGAATTATAGTTATTCTAAATTATTTTTTATATATATATATTAGTTTAGTAATAATTTATTATTAGATTTTAATACTAATAATTAGCAACTAAATTGAATAGATTTCACTCACATTATATTTTATTATATTACATTATTATTATATTCATTTTCTAAATTAGTTGTACAAATTAGAGCTAATTCAACATTTGAAACTACTCACGCTCTTTTTTCTAAATTTTCTAAATAATACTGTAGATCATAAATGATCTGATGATAAATTATACTGTAAGTTATAAGATAAAGTATATTAGTTACTAATCTAGAATCAATTCAGCATTTCAAACCACTCACACGCTTGTGTCCCTCTTGAGTTTATGTTAGATATGAGTGACAATAAAAATAACAGATATCTTTCACTGGAACCGCTGCATGACGGGTGTAAAAACCTGCTATTTCCTGTTCCTCATTCATCCTGGTTAAGATAACACGTTCATCGTTAAATCACACAATAGGTTATCGAGTTATGAAACAGTTAAGCACGTGTTAAGCACACAACACAAATTCCTCGCCATGTGCTTCTTAACATCAGCTATAGTGTTTAAAGCGAACCCAAACCGACTAGCGCATGCATTGCAGGCCCACAGCAGTCACTCACTAGCTTCTAAAAGCGGATTGGTCATCAAATAAAGGCGCGTGAGTCAGCGAGAGGGAAGCTCTACCTGCTTCTACACCTGGAACTCGACTGGTGTTGAACGTACGCTCGTACTGAGACGAGCACATGGGGATAGTGTTCAGAACCATGAGCTGTGAAGCAGAAGGGAAGGTCAGACACTAACAGGAGGAACAAGGAAGAAACCCAAACTACCTCTATGGAAACCTGGAGGGGGAAACAGAGCAATGGAAAACTGGAAACTAAAAGAAGGAAGTGGGCGGAGTGAAGGATCATCAGGAGGAATGAATTCAACATGGTGACTAAGCCTCCAGATAACAGCGCAGTGTTGGCTACTGTCAAATTAATGAGCAAATGAGAACAATTTCAAAACAGTGTTGACCAATATATTGTTCAGGCTGATAAAAACTATGATATATGCTATTTTAAGATTATTTGTTAGTGGTCACATGATTTGTGTTTTCCAATGGTCCAGGCCAATTTTTACGGTGAGTGATTGACAACATAAAAGAAGTTTAAAGATTGCAAAATGAAAAAATCATCAAATTGCTGAAATTAAGACGACAATACCAATTAAAAATGTTGTATACAATATTATGGCTGTTACCAAACAAGATATTAATTGAAATATTTTCTATACTGTATATATATATACTGTGCCCTCCACTAATATTTGCACCCTTGGTAAATGCGAGCAAAAGACGGCTGTAAAAATAAATCTCCATTGTTTATCCTTTTGATCTTTCATTCAAAAACTTGTCCAGATTCTATGGTCAGATGAAACTAAAAAAAGAGCTTTTTTGGCAGCAAATCAAATTTACAGATTTATTTTCAAAGCCACCTTTGATCATATTCAAGAGTGCCAATAATTCTGGACTGTATATATATATATATATATATATATATATATATATTCAGAAATAACATCAAATAATGACTTAGTATTATTTAAAATTGAATTATAATTGCAAAATGTATATAAATAAATTGTACCAAAATCCAAATAAAGAAAGGATAAGGATAAATAAAATAAAATATTATATTATATTATTGAAATTATATATAAATTAAATGGAAATATGTGTATGTGCTATATAAAATGTATTATATGATTAAAATAATGAATGTAAAAATATACAAAATAATATATTATTATGTATAATATAAATAACACATAATAATATAACATAAATTAATATATTTTAATTTATCATAATAGTTTATTATAGCAAATTATGACTTTAACTATCCAACCATTTCTTTCATTGGCCAATATATGGGTGCATCACTATTATTGTTATTGGCTTATGACTATTAATAAAAAAAAAAAAAAAACATTAAAAAAAAAATATATATATATATATATATATATATATATATATACAACACCACAACACAATATTTGCATTTTGGTACTATTTCTTTCTATATTATTTTATAATATAATAATTTATAATTGTTTAATATATAAAATATGAAATAATTATATTATAAAATACTATAAAAATAATATAGAAAGAAATGGTACCAAAATACAAATAAAGAAAGTCATACAGGTTACGAATGACATGAGGGTGCATAAAATAAAAGAATAATAAAATAATAATTATATTATTAAAAATTATAGAAAAAGAAGTAATATATGATTAAAATAATATAATGGTATAAAATATACAATATAATACATCATTTATTAATACATAATAATACAAATAATATAAGCAAAATAATAGATTATATATTTATATTATATATATATTTATTATGCATTTTTCAGCTATTTAACTATTTCTTTATGATAAGCCAATATTTAATGTGTATCAATATTATCGCTATTGGCTAACAATCATTCTCAATTGCCTGGGAGGACGTTGTCAGTTTCAAAACCTACTGAAATCTCTATAAGTGGATAAGGTGAAGGAATCCAGAACTATTCTGCAACTGATTAATCATTCAGTTATATGATATCATATAAATTGTCCATCATTGTCCACCCTGCTCTAGAAATCAGCCAATAGAAAGCCTGTACCGGTGGCCCACTGTAAGTCAATACGCAGCCCTGTTCTAGTGTCCACTGTGCTGCTGTCCTGAGGCTGAGTCTGCATGTTGCTGGAGCGGAGCTGTGGGTCGTGCCGGACGAGCTCCTCCTCTTACCTGTCTCAAGCCCGGGAATGCGGGACGAGTTAAACATCCGCTCCCACTGTGCCGAGCACAGCGGCACTCGGTTCTCCAGCAAGAATAACTGTGCATGTGGTGTGTGAGTACACATAGCAAACACAGCAACGTCCGGGTGCGAGGAACAAAACAGAAGATCGTTTATGAGGGGGGGCTCTTTCACAGTCATGCAGAAAGAGTAGAGAGAGAGAGAGAGAGAGAGAGAGGCATGGTATGACATGACAAACAGCCTTTTTCAACATGGCTCTACTGATTTGGTCATTATACAGTACAAATGAAAACCAAACAAAATCAACAGACACCAACATGCACTGAAACAAATTTGACATGAAGTAGGAGAGACAAAAACATTCTTATAAAACAATATATAGCACGACTGCAAATGTGATATTGATTTTACTCAACGGTTCAATAAATAAGAAGTTAATATTGTATTATATTTTAGACACAATAGTGTCTGCTTTTGTTAAAATGTGAACCAAAAATTCAATGGCCCATTCATAAAGAGAGCCATTTACTTCATTCCTGAATGAATCAAATTAATAAATGACTCAATGTTTTACACATTTAGACATTTACTGCCACTTACTGGCAGTTTTAGTTATTTATTTAGAGTATCATTTCATTTTTTTCTTTTTCATTTTTCCATATTAATAAAAAAAACATCATTCTGTCACCATTTACTCACCCTCATGGCCGTTAAAGCCTAAACATTTGTGTAATAAAATCTACGTCGAATCAAATAAAAAAAAAAATTTCTAAAGCTACTTTTTGTAATGTCTTTTTGATGCTTTCCTCATTTAACACAATCATGACTTTAAATTATATTTGGGGGATAATGTCTCAGCCAAATTTGATGTGTGATTAATATGTGATTAATTAGATTAATTAATTTGACAATATTACTGTTTTACTGTATTTTTAATCAAATAAACGCAGCCTTGGTTAGCATCAGACACTTATTTAAAAAATATTTTTAAAAAACGTACAAACCCCAAACTTTTGAATGGTAGTGTGTATGTAAACTTAATAATATATCACACACTGCATGTAGTATAATTAATTCACTGGAATTACATTTTTTATTTATATATATAATATAAAATGTAATTATCATGTAAAACTATATCATGAAATATGTACGGTTATCACAACATACAGTGACTAATGCCAAGATTTTGGCCACCTCTACTGCATGCTATAGAGCAACATTGCCTTTCACAAAATGTACAGTATCTACAAATAAAAGCAATAATAACCAATAACCAACTAGCCCAATCCTTCTGTGAAGTCAAAGACCTCGTGATTATTAAAGCTCAATTTACAGAAGAAGTTAATGTTTCATCTGGAGTTCTGAGTAGTGCTTTACAGCCACTGACCCATACATTACCCTGACCTATGAAAAACATTAACAATCCAAGAGAACGTACTATACTTAAAGTGTTAGTTCACCCCAAAATGAAAATTCTGTCAGTAATTACTCTCCCTCATGTTGTTCCAACCCCGTAAGACGTTCGTTTATCTTCGCAACACAAATTAAGATATTTTTGATGAAATCTGAGAGCTGGATCACTCCTCCATAGGCTTCTTAAGGGATCGAAACTGACCGGCCCAAAAGTTATGAAAGACATCGTTAAAATAGTCCGAGTGACAACAGTGGCTCAATCTTAAGTTTATCAAGCGACGAGAATACTTTTTGTGCGCAAAAAACAAACAAAAATAACGACTTTATTCAACTAATAATTTCCTTCTCTGTACGGCCGTGATATTTCACGTTGTGAAACTACGCAAAGCTTCTGTGTTGCACGTCACACGTAGGCTCACTATTGGCCGACGCGGGTCATGTGTGTGATGCGTGTGACGTACAACCTAGAAGCTTTGCGTAGTTTCACTACGTGAAATATCACGGCCGTACAGAGAAGGAAATTATTAGTTGAATAAAGTCGTTATTTTTGTTTGTTTTTTTGCGCACAAAAAGTATTCTCGTCGCTTGATAAACTTAAGATTGAGCCACTGTAGTCACTCGGACTATTTTAACGATGTCTTTCATAACTTTTGGGCCGGTCAGTTTCGATCCCTTAAGAAGCCTATGGAGGAGTGATCCAGCTCTCAGATTTCATCAAAAATATCTTAATTTGTGTTCCGAAGATGAACGAAAGTCTTACGGGGTTGGAACAACATGAGGGAGAGTAATTACTGACAGAATTTTCATTTTGGGGTGAACTAACACTTTAAGGGAATAGATCACCCAAAAGAGGCACTTTTAAAAAAGACCAACATTTAAACCTGGCCCATTATGACTGATCAGTAAAACCAATGTCCTTTAACATCATTCATACCAGATTAATGTGAATAAGATTTGAGAGCTTTTTTGGCCTGTTTCGCACAGAAAGCAGTTGTATGACTTCAAAAAGCTTGATAAATACATAAGTAATGAGTCATATTGACTAGTTTCATGATTTTTTTTATTTTTATTTTTTTTTATGGACAATGAGTTGTATGGAAAATAGCGGCTTGGGCATTCGACAAAATATCTGTGTGTTCCACAGAATAAAGAAAATAATGCAGGTGACAAGAAAGTGAAATGCTTTACTTTTAGGGCACACTATGTCTTTAAATCTGAGATCTATTATGTAGGCACACCAAGGAAGTAAAATAATCGCAGTCCACACCACAAATATAACAATAACGGCACAGAGTATACTATATTGTTGGAATTACATTCAAAACTATTTTTTTCTAGCTGATGAACGATACAAATAATGATCGCCGATCCTGCTTTAAAGAGCTTAAGCACTTAAAGCGGCAGATGACATAACCGCAGCACATGCTTATAATAAAAAGAACAATTTTGTGCGTTGGTGTGGACATTATCGTTATAGTCATCTTTATAGTTATCGTTCTTGGTGTGAACGGGGTTTTAAAGTGGATATTCTTTAAGCAGACAAAGCCATTATCCTTGAATAGAACGATGGTAAAAAAAAAGGATGTATTGATTTCATGTAAAATAGACAAACATGCTTGTGTTAAAGACGCTTTTGTGGACTCACTGGTTTGATCTGTGCTCTGTCCAGTTTTCTTCTGTACATCATGAGTAAGTGGATGGAATTACCAGCACGGGCAGCTTGGAGGGAAGTCGGGATCACATAGAGGAAGTCCTGATAAAGACCGAGAAAGTGACTTTCACTCTACTGAGATGTTTCCATTGAACAGTGTTATGAATTACAGTTATGAATGTATTACAGGAACAATCTCCCTTGAGCAACTTTGAGTTAAATTAGTTACAATCAACTTTCCAGTCACCATCTCTAAGTCTTAACTGCTACGCTACACAAATTGGTGCCGTGACCCGGATGTCAGATTTTAAAACAGTTTGTGCTACAAGCAAACATTTTAAATTCTTTCATATTTTAATGGATTATTTTTGAGTTTCATCATCTTGATTATGTTTTTGACAACTTGACTATTTATTTATTTATTTATAACAAAAAACAAATTAACCATTTCATAACAGCCTTACCATTGCATAGTAGTTGCTGTTGACCATGATTGGTCCTCGACCTCTGAGGTAAATATACTCTTCCCACCAGTCACTGACCTGAGAGGATGACAGTAGAACCAAATCTCAAATAAAGGTACATTAAGGTTCATCATTTAGGAAGCTTCATGCTATTTTGAAAGAAAGATGTACTTGAAATACACTGATGAGCCAGAACATTATGATCAGTCACGATGAAGTTGATATCGTTGATTATCTCCAAACAAGGCCACATATTAAGGTCTGGGTGGATTAGATGGTAAGCAAACAATCAATTCTCGTAACCAACGTGTTGGATACAGGAGAAATGGGCAGGGATAAAGATCTGAGCGACTTTGACAAGGGCCAAATTGTAATGGCAAGGCGACTGGGTCAGAGTATCTCTGAAACGGCTAGGCTTGTGGGTTGCTCCTGGTCAGCAGTGGTGAGAATTTACCAACAGTGGTCCAAGGAGACAACAAAGGCTATCCCGTCTGGTCCGAGCCAACTGAAGGTCTACTGTCAGACAAAATTTGAATGATGGTTATGGGAGGAATGTGTCACAAAACAGTGCATCGCACTCTAGATCTCAATCCAGTTGAGCATCTGTGGGATGTGCTGGACCAACAAGTTCAATCCACGGTGGCTAAACCTCGCGACCTACAGGACTTGAAGGATCTGCTGCTAACCTCTTAGTGCCAGAAACCACAGGGCACCTTCAGGGGTCTCGTAGAGTCCATGCCTCGGGGGGTCCGGTGCTGTTTTGGCAGCACGCAGAGGACCAACGGCATATTAGACAGGCGGCCATATTGTTTTGGCTCATCAGTTTAGGTTCCAAGGCATTTTATAAACAGATATAATAAGACAGCTAATTTTTTTAAATGTTCCCCAAATCCCTCAAGAAAAGAGTACCTAGTTTGAATAATAGGCGCAGTGTGAACTTACGTAATTGGATGTCCACCAGGATTTGAGCTTCAAGTACCACTGCAGTTTGGGGCCCAAGTTCTTCTCAAAGTCCTTTGCCAATCCCTCCATACGTTCGTACTGTTCGTCGTCCATCAGAGGACGAGCTGACTCAAGATACTGAAAAAAAAAATATATATATATATGTTAAGAAGTGAGGGTACTTGGTGGAATTTTCAATTTATTTCAACTTATTCTATTAATGAATAAGATAATTTTAAGACACAATTAAAATGCTTGACTTACTCTTCTGACGGTGTCTTTTACGAGAGGCACTGGCAACCGCGGCAGTGAACTCTGGAAGCTGTAGAGCATTGGCTTTTGCCCAGAAAATAACTTCACCAATACCTGAGGTGATAATATTGGGTCATGAGTCAGACATGAGACAAGCATGAATACTTTCCAATGATAAAACCAGACATATTCCAGTGATATCCAAAGAGCAATGACACAATGACTTGGAGAACACTTCTAAAGAAATATGCCATTACTGGAACAGTGCTGAAATTATGTTATAAAACAAATTTGAACTTTGGACTCTAGCTGAATATACATAGGGAAATATTTACAAAGCTGGGTTGAAGTGTTAAACAAACAGTTCATATGGACAGAGTCATATGGACTACAAAAATGGCTATTTTTTTTAGGTAAATTATTCTTTTAAGTGAAATTCTCCATCAGGGCCACACTCACCAGCCAAACCTTTGTTTTCAGGGATAAAGATCCATGGCGACTGAACATCCAGCCATGCCAGGACAGCAAGCACTTAAGGATGTTCCTCATAACGAAAGTCACAGTAATCCACAATCCAGTCCCAACCAGCACACCACCAACAATACGCTGCCCTTCTTCTGTTACGTACTTACTGCAGGCAAACACAGCTATTAGGTGAGAAATAATCAGCAATGCCCTGTAATGCTATGGTAAAAATTACCATAGTTTACAAAAATGCTGAAGTGGTTTGGTTTTGCTTCCAGTACACTACTGTAAAGTCACAATCAAAATTGGATGTAATTTTATGACAGTGGTGGTAAATACATTTGATTAAAATAATACTTTATTAAGAATTTCAGAGACATGGGATTGTTTGTTGTGTGACTGCTCATAAAGTAAGCGGGCAGACTACGTGTGATACAGTAATAAAAACTGTTCAGGGAGTTACTTGTATAACAGTGTAATCTGTTTTGAAGATAATAGATAAAAAAAAAACTACAAACAGAAACAATGGATCTTGAAAGTCTCCTGCTCTCAAGGTCATTAGTGCATTTGACTGCACATTACAGGCATCATGGTTTATGGACCTTTAATGCTTTACAAAATGTTACCATTGTAACCACAATTTCTCCCAAAACAAAACAATAAAACACAACAAAAAAGTACTACAAAGCAAACAATCAAATGTTTGCAAATGACTTTAAATGTCTGACAGATTACAGTTATAATCAAAATTATTCATCCTCCACTGCAAATCAGGTTTATTGGCAACATTTACAGAGTTTCAGCTGTTTGCAATCAACAAAGCAAACAAAAAATAATTGAAATAGCTCAACACAACAAATGTTTCAAGTGGTTTCCCCAAATTCAACTGAAAATTCAACTTTTAATGACTTCTGCAGTCTCAAAATTATACACCCCCCTGAATAGAATCCCTCACAACAGCACAAATCTGCAGAACAGGCAATCAAGGGCTTCACTAGTTGCAACAGGTGTGCTTGAGCTAGAACACATGACATATCTGAACTAGCTCGGTTTGTTGAGTGTCACGATGAGGAATGGGCTAAGATTCTCAGAAACGCTGCCAGAAGCTGGTGTCTGGTTATACATCTCGTTTCCAGCAGGTCATAACAGCAAAAGGATGTTCTACTTAGTACTAAAGATGCTTGCCATGAAGGGGTTGAATCAGAGACTGCAGAAGTCATTAAAAGTTGCATTTTCAGTTGAATTTGGGGAAACCACTTAAAAAAATTGTTGTGTTGAGCTATTTCAATTACTTTTGTTTGATTTGTTCATTGTAAACATCTGAAAGTCTGTACATTTTGCCAATAAACCTGATTTGCAATGAGGTTGAATAATTTTGATTACAACTGTATACTTTCTCCCCATAACAGATACCAAATACATTGTTAATAACTACAGAATAACAGATGACAGTTTATCAGTGGGTTACCTGATTGGTAGGTGTGTCGATAGTTTAGTGAATATCCCAAGGGAGGGGTCTATTTTTGCATATTTGGTGGAGGACATATAACCCACCAGAACAACCAGGAGCCCTGAAGGACTTCCAGGATAGACCCCAGTCATCACACCATTCTACAGAAACACAGAATAATGTAATATTACAAATGTAATATATAATATAATATAATATAATATAATATAATATAATATAATATAATATAATATAATATAATATAATAATATAATATAATATAATATAATATAATATATAGGTCAAAACACAATATTAGTCTCTGCTTACATGGACATTTATCATATCATATATAGTATATCACAGTTCTAAGACTACTTTAAAAACACACAAACTATCCTCAAAAAATCAATTAAACTTTGGATTTTTCAAAGTGACATTCCGAGCGCTGATTAGATAGCACTATTCATGTACATTAACTCTTTAATCAGTTCGAAAAGAAAGTCAGCCGTGAGGTCACCTTAAACCTGATGAACCTCTTCTTCCAGGAGTGAAGGCCTGACAGGTAGACCTGGCGCAAGGCCTCGTGGCACAGATGCAGGTCGATGCCATCAGGAGTGACGGTGAACTGGAAGGCCACCGCCTGATGAGCTTCTGCCATGCTGACTGCACACTGTCACTGCCTCACAGAGTCAAAGAGCCTTTATAGACAAGAGACATGAATAAAGTTTTATTGGAGAGATTAGCTAAATGACTCACAATTCAGAAGAATGCACTGAAACTATTAAAGCAACACCAAGTAACTTTTCCTCTGCGGTCGCCCTACAGGTTGAAAGCGGAATTGTCCATTACTGCTGTCGTAAATAATTTAGCCTACCGCAGCCTACTGTCGCACGCGCACGCTCGCTGTTTATCCAGCGCCGGCTTTGGAATCAACAATGGCAGACATCCCAACCTGCAAGAAGTCATTTCAGGGAGGTATATCTTGGTGACTGGATTGTTGACGGGGGGTGGCGGGTTGACTAGCTTTCACGAGGCACACTCGCAAGGTCTCTCGCTCTCTCCCTCTCTGCCGTGCTCGCGCTATGTGTGTTATGCGCGCAGTATGTTCTGTCTCGCATACGCGCTCTAGATTCCGGCAGATTTGAACTAATTTTCGGGCATCAGGGAAATGCTATCAATATGCGGGAGACTCCCGGGAGACTTGGGATGTCTGCAATGGCCACAGACAATTTGAGGAAGTGGTGGGGGAAGTGACGTATGCTTTAAAGCAGTCGAATTTTGTAGTTCTTTTTGTGCTCGGGTTACTACCCGAAACCCGAAGTTACATAGTGCCGGTAAAAGCGATACAGACCACGTCAGGCTATGGCAGACGTGTCATTTAACCTATTGTAAGTCGATGTACCATCACAAGGGTCTTGGAAATATATTATGAAGGTTAAAAAACTACATAGTGTTGCTTTAATGTGAAAAAAACAACTGCTCCATAGAACAATGATGGTATCAGATGGTAATATCAAAGACTTTAGATATACAAAGATGGCGCACTCATATTACTATGAATGGGAGAACCTACAACGCACAATATGGCGGAATAAGCCCCGCCTTCTACATAAAAGAGCCAATCGCTGATTGGTAAAGTCATTGTGCCAGTTTTTATTCATGATTTAGAAACGAAATTTGTTTACAGTTGGTGTCACACTTCATTGGTGATTTCAAATATGAAATTGAATAGTAAGCTTGAATAACTTTGTAGAACTTGATGTTTCCCCATTCAAAGAGATAAGAGCTTGCTGTCCGAGAGGCGTTTCAAAGATGGCCGCCGAGTAAAATGACTTGCCTCAAGTGGACTTATTGCTTCTATAGTGCATTTTATTACAAACATTGTATTCAAAATTTTATCAGTTTTTCATAAATGGAGTAGAATTGAAAAATTATCATTTTTATAGACATGAACAAACATTGTAACATTAGCATAAAGCCACCTAATCTGAATTTCACAATATGTTGCTGTAATAAAACATTAGTTGTAATCTAATCACATTTGTATTACTGTTCAGTGTGACCTCAAGCATTTAACTGCAAGACATAGAGCGGATTACAGAATGTGCTTTGTTCATGACCTCTGTAACTCTTTCACAAGTCTGTCATGGGACACACAATTAGATATTGTAAACATCCCTCTGATGTAAATAAAGATGCAGGGATGTTTGATAGGTCAAAATGACGTCTGACTTTTTGAAGAAATCCTCATAAAATGAAAGTTTAATGGGGTTATGAATTGAGAAATAAAATTGTCCGTGATCTTTTGGGTAAGATCATTAAAACATCCTGCAAGTTTCATAGCCTAAAATGTCCTCCTTATTATAAACAAAGTATTTATTTAATCAAGCTCCAAAAACAGCTTGTTTTGATATTGGGTGACGTGAAGTCACACGGGCAAATATGCATTTGCAAATCACAAGACATTGATTAACAGTTACATCATCACACCATAGGCCCCACCCACTGCCATGCAGTCATTTAAAGGGATAGTTCACCCAAAAATGAAAATTATCTCATAATCTACTAACCCTCAAGCCATCCTACGTGAATATGACTTTATTCTTTCAACTAAACACAATCGGAGTTATATTATATCCTGGCTCTTCCCAGCTTTATAATGAGAGTGAATAGAGTTTTTGAAGCCCAAAAAAAGCACATCCATCCATCATAAAAGTAATCCATGCGTCGGGTCAGAGGTCACTCTTCCACCTGAACTAGACCTGCATACGACCGTTACCGGAAGCAAGTTTATAAAGTTATAAATATGTAGATTTTTCTTACAAAAACGGATCGCTTCACTTCAGAAGGACTTTGACAAAAAATAATGTTTCATTTTGTGGGAACATCTATGGTGACTATCATACCTGGCAAAATAAAAAAAAAATTGGGGGGAATTCTCACAAATATACTTCAGTGCCCAGTTGATTTTAGGTGTATTGGATCGATTGGAACACCATTAATGACCCTTTATTTGGATTGTTTTCTTTTTGTATTCGTAGGCAGTTCCAATATACTGATATATTTAATCTAAATTCCCAATTAAATTGTCGTAATGAGTGAAGGCACAGAAATCCTGATAAGATAGACTTCACTTGGAGTAGCCTAATAAAGACAGATCCTTACAATCTAGAACTGACTTTTGGTTAACTTCTGAGGAACTTCGTGCCTTCTGTCTTCAGTGACCATAAAATGATTCATTTAGTTATATCTTGAAGATACAAGAACTCGAGGATTCAATTTCAATTACTGGAAATTAGACAATTCACTTCTTAAAGACAATGTAAGAATAATGTTAAAAGTAAGATAAGGATATTTTACAATAATGCTAAAATATAACATTATAGCTTAGCCTATATGAAACAAATTGGGAAAGTATGACTTATTAAAAGTAAGACTTATTCTTGCTGCTTTCTCAATTCAATTCAAATGTTATACTATTTGTTTATCATAATATTTGATTTGATGTAATTGATATGTTATTCCCCTTGTATGTTCATTGTATTGCCCTTGTATGTGCAACAATAACATTGGCTTAACCAATTATGTGAATTTGGGACGTGTGACGTGTCTATCTGTTTGTCCAACCAATGGAAGACAGGTCTGTTTGAATATTGAATAAAACAAATATGAGTATATCAAAACTCAAAAGGCATGAATCAAAAGTTCCATGACATATAATACACAGTAACTAATAAACTGTTCAGCAATGCTATTTAAATTTGTAGTGTAATGTGCATATTAATATAATCGTAATAATCAGTGCCGCTGCTAGCCATTTTGGTGCCCTAAGCATAATTCCTTTAGGATGCCCCCCCGCCCCCCCTAAAAAAAAAACATTTTTATTTAGGATTTTCATTTAGGGGGGCTAAGCCCCCCATGAGGGTATGATTTATAAAAAAAATAAAAAGCTAAAAAGTAACACTTTAGATTAGGGTCTAATGCTTACTATTAACTAGTTTCATTACCATGCAATGGCATGGTTTTATAATCACTGGGATCCCGAATTTGAGGCAGGTTAGTTAGGGGTGTTCGGGGGAAATTTGGGATTTTTCTGAACTACAGATGTGCATTTTAAAGATGTTGTGAAGGCAAAAAAAAAAAAAAATTCGATAACAACAGCTTTAAAACCATGTCAGTGGTCAGCTGATTATTTTTCTCTCCTCATCACACTCTTTTTCTCTTTGTTTTTATCTTGCCCTGTCTCTTCCCCTCCTAAAGTTGGCTTTTTTAATTTACTAAAGGTTACAATTTGTATTTTATTCTCAATATGTACACATTCATTATAAATCCTGTGCCTAACATGATGAAAACGGCTTTGTTCATGTTTCTTGTCCCCTCACAATGACAGTAGCCTTAACTATTACACTAGGCTACATGTTACATAGGCCTATTTTCAGTTCAAAATGGCGAAATTAGACAAAACTATATTAGTTTGCCTAATTATTTTTTGTCATTCGTTTAACATTTATGACCTAAAAAAAACTGTCAAATAAAGTTAAGTTTAGCTACTTACATCTTATCTCGCACTTGACCGTACACTGAAGCGTCGAGTTGCACTGTTAAAATTCGCGCTCAGCGTCTGTGAACATAAAGCCCGCCTACTTTGATTTGATTGGTCATCTCAAATATTCTGACATTGACGAGCAGTGACAGACCAATGAGGCTCAGATGAACCCACACACGCACGCACACACACACACACACACACACACCCTGTCCTGTGTTTCTGACGTGCTCTCTGTCTCTGCTCGGCGCCGCTGCGGAATGAAGAGGAAGAACGCGCTGAATCTGATTATAACAAGAAGTTTGATGATTGGTTTTTCATTAGGCTATTTTTGGTGCCCCCTCAGCACTTGGTGCCCTACGCACAGCGCGTGATGCGCGTGGTGGGAGCGGCGGCGCTGGTAATAATAAATCAATATTATAAATTATATAATACAGTGCTAAAGCACAAATACACAGACTTTCTTGCTCAGTCACCACCCAAACCTGTCTATACTTTATCAAAGGGACATAAATACAATAGTATTTCCATAAGGTCATTGTTAGCCTAATTGTTTATAACAGAGATACTATCATCATATAACGCGAAAGAATACCATGAAGGTCATATTTTGTCAAGAGGGTGCTATGTGTATTAGCAAGTCATATCTCAGTCCCCCAGCAGCGGTGATCACGTGACGCACTGGTGCAGATGGAAACTAGGGGAAAGGTCACGCGCCGCGCGGGACTGTTGATGGTGCTTCTGAACGCCATTATGGGTCACAGACACAGTATGATTTAATAAGTTTGCATTATATATTCTGCCACAACGGGTACCGAGTTACTACAACAGAAAGAAGAACTATCGGCTATTTAAATTTGCATAGTTACTGCTGTATCGTCGAACTATTCAATTAAAGGGACACTTCACTAAAATATGAAAACGCATAATTTACTCACACTAATCTTATTTCAAACCCATATGACTTTGTATCTTCCGTAGGACACACGAATAGATATTAGGCAGGGTTTAGGGACTTCCCTTCCCTTCCATCGCATCCATTTAGCTTACAATGAAACTCAATGGTGACTGCTGTCATATCTCCTTTTGTGTTCCCGGGTTTCTTTTGAGGGTGAGAAAATAATCATAGTATTTTAAATTTTGAATGAACTGTCCCTTATGTATTGCAAATAAAGGGGCTAACGTTATGTGTTATTAATATCTAGCCTACATTAAAAAATAGGCTGCGCGCAAATTTTTGTTGTATTGTGTTAATTCACACACTTCACATTAGTAAACTTATTTGTCCCAAATCAAAACTATGAAGCAAGACGAGCTATCGGCATCACGTTGACACGTCCCGGTGATTATATCGCAATCAACAACAACAACAACAACAACAACAACAAAATCAAACAAATTCCAACGCAACGCGCTTTGGCGAGATGCCCTCACACACACACACACACACACACCCGGGCACCCACTGACCTCGAGCAACACTCACCAGGTGCTCTTGGCTTGGGTGTCAGAATATCAACACACATGCATCTATAAACAAAAAAAAACTAATCGCGCACCATAAATGACACCCATTTATGCTTTATTCAAATAACAACTGTGTTGCTGTCCGGGATCACCTTGTGTTTTAAGTAGCACGTCAGTGTCATACCGTAGAGGACAAGAATACACCAGGCTGTGCGCTCGTGCACTTTCACCTACTTAGCTCCACACTCAATCTCATGCTGCTGCTTAAATAGGCTATATAGCTGATTTATTCTGGATTCTTACCTCTACGTCCTTTCCTGAAATATGGACGATGTGGATTACTGTTTCACTGTAGGAAACGCGCCGTTTTGCCGCCGCCTGCTTTTAGTGTAAGATATGAATGAATGTAATAAGGGTAATTTAGCAAACCCGCCCCTCTGCGTGACGTCACGCTGTGTAGAGAGCGGCGCGCGCGGCTAGTGCTCAAGCGACGCCCTGGAAGATATGGATTGTAAATGTGACATCAAAGGATTAAACTTTTTTTTCACATATATATATAATTATGAACAGGGAAACGTAGAAATTAGCAAAAATAAATAGCAAACAGCCTGTCCCCATGGTAACGAAATCACTAGAGAAACTAAGCCTACAGTACAAGTGCAGAAGCAAATTTACTATTCTTTTAGGAAGAAGGATATATATATATATATATATATATATATATATATATATATATATATATATATGTGTGTGTGTGTGTGTATATATATAGCGATATATCCAGTGTGTAATAAGGATGACTTCCACTTCCCTTACGAAAAATAAGTTTATTCAAGTGTGCTATTAGTATAGGCTACTTCTTTTAAACTAAAAATAAGATATACTTTTTGTCTACTTTGTATACTGTTGCCTTGGCTTTTGGCTTGCTTAGTTGGGGACATTTAATTATTCAACAATATTTTTGATCTGCCTTACTTCATGTGGACGATGATGCAATTTTATTCTAGAAACAAACTTCTTGTATTTATTTTCATGTTATCACTGTAAAGCTGCTTTGATACAATCTGTATTGTAATAAGCGCTATATAAATAAAGATGACTTGACTTGACTTAAAATTGCACTAATGGCTACAATGACAGAATTTTCCGGCTATCCGGGAAGGTTACTTTTGAAATAGGTTACAGATTACAAGTTATTAAAATGTAATAAGGGTCATTCCGTGTCAAATCAACCAAATTTCTGAAACTTCCCCAGCTCAAATTTTTGATTTTGTTCATATTTTTTCTGTAATAGTGATGAAAGCCAAAACATTAAATGTCACAGATGTAGAGGAGGGTAAAAAATGATAATTTTCACCTCAGATCCAGAGCCAAATTACAGGGGGGTAAAAATAACTTTAGAAAGATGACAGCAACATTATTTTATCTTTACACTGAGATCAGTGGGTCTATTAGTAAAATCTGTTGACTTTAGCAAACCTTGTTGCATTATATGCCAACAGTGACTGCTCAAAAATGGCAAAAAGCACTTCTGTTTTACCTGTAACTCAAGAAGTATTGAAGCTATCTAGGATATAAAGATATAAAGGCCTACTTTTTAACTAGTTGTTACAGGACAAAATGAACATCGGAAGAAGGTATGTTGAAGTAAAATGTAAAACAGCATGTAAACAATGTCGTGTAACGTTACATTTACCTCAGAAAAGCCATTCAGTGGCCATAACTGTATTTAGTAAGAAAAAATAATTTCAGAGAGGAGCATTTTGCAACAAAAGGACTTATTATTTTTACATTAAAAAGTTAGTATTAGCCTAACATTTTTATTATTAATATAAAAGTATTATTAGACTATAAAAACAGTTGTTAATTAACCTTTAATAATGGGGATAAATAGCACGTGCTTTTCAATATGACAAATTATTTAGTCCTATTGGCCTATGTTTTAATTGAACATTGATGCATCAAAATATTTTGTGGGAAAAGTTCTGCATAAAATCTAATACTTTTTCAAAACAACCACTTCAGCAACGCTAGCTATTATCTGTTTATTTTAATAAATAAAGGAAATGTATTTTTGTTTAACAAATATATATTCAAATAAATATTTAAACAACTGAATATATATTTTCTTATATGAAATTTTTGGCGAGTTTTGTGCCATCTAGAGGAGAATAAAAGCAATGCTCCTTTTACAGCGGTGTAACTTTAGCCCTGTTGTGCCCCATATATACTGTATATATCAAAATGAATCGATATTGAGTCATGACAAAGATCTAATAAAACAACAACAAAATCTTTTCCTTTGTTAATCAGAGACAGCTGCATTTGAGGGGCTCTTTCTGTCTCTCCCCAATTTATACATTTTGGTGACTTGCCTGTTAAAATAATTGTCTAAAGATTCAAAATGAATTGCTGAGCGACGAACTGCACATTTTGAATGTCTCCTTTCGCCCTGTCCCAAATGGCACACTTAATGTGCACTGGACAAGACCATAGGCTGTCCTGTGTGTCATTAGGTTTCAGAACGGTGCTTTTCATTTGGGACAGGGCCTTTGTCTGACACCCACTTCAGGTCTTGAGTCTCTACTAATGATCTGATGACCAGAATCAAGTGTGTTTAATAGGGAAACATACAAAATGTGCAATGTTGGAGAAACTCCAGAAACAAAACACTTTCTCGAAACATATTCATCTCCTCTATTATAGAAGCAGATATTAGTTAACAGCCTCCCCAAAGTTTGTAAAAAAAGAAATATTGCAAAATCATCAATCACATTTAACATCTGCAAAATAAAATCATTCTCTAAATCTTTTATAAAATATTTTCTTTATAGAACTAAATAAGAAATAGGTCAATGTGATTTTTTAAAATTTAGGTTTGTTTCAATTTAAAGAGTGCAAAACGTCAATTTTCATTTTCCCTCTTGAACTTCTAAGACCAAATCTTCCATCTTTTTTTTATATGTATCAATTATGATTAATTACATGTTGCCTGCAAAAGCATGTCTTTCATTCTGTGAATATTAAATGTAAAATTTTCAATTTTACACAAGTTGAAGGCACTGTATGGTAACATCATGTCTGATAACTATTTACAAAAGTACAATTATTTATTTTCACATCCTTCTGAAAGCAATAGCGTCAGATGCTAATGTTGCTTCAAGAGAAAGAGGCTAAAGCGGATGATGGAGAGACCAGGGAGAGACCAGCCGACACACAGCCGACACTTTTGAAGTGACTGTGACCCATCTTACACCTGGAACAAATGACACATAAATGAGTTTTATTGAAAAAAATAGATTTTTTTTTTTTTTTTTTTTTTTTAAACCATTTGTGTTGAATAATCCTGTCCAGATCAAGCCGACGCTCTGGCTTCTGCAGCAGAAGGGCATTCTGTGAGAAAGATGGAGAGACGTCTGATTATTACCGCAAACTTCACATCCGCTTTCATTATTCTAAGCTGTAAGATCATCCGGTTAGAAAGCCGACAAATTCCTGCATTATCTATACGGCCATCTCCTATAAAGCCTATAAAGTTTTGGATTAGAATACTTGAAGTAATAAACAAATCACCTTCTGTCAAGCCAGGTTTGTACCAGCTGTTCATATTGGTCCTGTAGAAGTCGAAACAATGGAAAGTATCCACACAGCATTCTGAACAAGAGGATCCCAGAGACCAGACCGTCGCCGGCTTTCCATGAAACTCGCCCTTCATTCTGTCCTCGGGAGGATAGTGCATGACTGTGCCTGGAGGAAAGAGAGTTTGTCTGATGTCTCTACCACAGCATGTCTTCTCAGCATCCACCCAACATATGAGTGTTGATTTAAAGGGATAGTCCACCCAAAAATGAAAATTAGCCCATGATTTACTCACCCTGAAGTCAGGTGTATATGACATTCTTCTTTCAGACGAACACAAATGTCCTGGCTCCTCCAAGCTTTATTTTTTTGGAAGTCCGTCAAAGTGCATCCATCCATTATAAAAGTGCTCCACGCGGCCCTGGGGGTTAATAAACGCCTTCTGAAGCGAAGCGATGCGTTCGCGTAAACTTTATCGACTAAAATAACTAGCTTCATGAAATGTCTATGAAGAGGAAACGACTGCTTTAGGGGTGTAAGACTGGAAAAACTGGTTGAGGAACTATACCACTCCTCGAGTGGACAAAGGACCTTGCTGAAAATGAACACTTGAACTCCCCCTCGTGCACTATTGAGACGAAGGTCTCACCTCCCTCATCCTAATCTACATTTCTCCCCCTCGTCCCCCATGCGAAGATCACCCCAACTCACACAAGAACCTAAATGGATTAATGTGAGTGATTATCATCGAGTATTATACATGTTTAGTCTCATTTGAAATGTCTCAGTGCGACTGGTACAAATGTCTCATTTCCAAATAAGTAAAACGAAAGGTAATAAGGTTTTTAAGAGTTTAGAGATACACACAAAAGAGGGTGGATGGTTAAACCCTCCTGCTCCCAGAAGGTGTTAGCTCAATGCAAATTCCCACTGTTAGCAAATGGTTCCATGTAAATCAACTTCTGCCCCCAGTGAGTTTAAGGTAAATTTCCACTGTGAACTCATCTGAAATGAGGTCTGTCTATATAATGAAATGCAGCAGAAGGCTCGGGGCCTTTTCTTTACTTCAGATGAGCCCGTGAGGCTGGGAGAGGCCGAGACTCTCAGCTTCACGTATTTCTTAAATGTCGGGTTCGTCTTCTCTTTATTCCAGAGCATTTATGTTTTAATTATCTTTGAACTGATTATGAAATTGGAATGATATGTTTATAAACATATCATTCCAATTTCATAATCAGTTCAAAGATAATCGGAGATATGTAAAAAAATAACTCTTTGAATGAACATAAAAAAATCATGGAAAGGATTTCCACATGATTAACTTGCTTTATTTCAGCATTATGCAATTCTGTTATTCCAATTTAATGTACTTAGTTGGGTCAACTTAATGTATTAAGGTTGATTCAACTTATTTACTATGGTTGGGCACAGCTTAATTCAATATTGTCAGCGAATTTAAAAAAGCTCCCTGATATGATTCAGGTATTCAAATTCATATATTCATTCATCCAATGCAACATAATTTATTTTAGTGTCACACTAACACATTTCTAGACTATTGGCTACCAACAGCACTTTTTAGCATCTTAAATGATAAGATTTACATGCTTCATCAACCTAAGAAATCGCTGTGAGTATTGTTGAATCAGTTTTCAGCCTAACCAAATGCTCCACTCTTCTCCACAATGGTAACCCACTGTAATTAGATGGTACTAATAATTGCAATGTAATTGAACATTAAACACAATAACACGCAGAGACCTTCACCCGCTGACCGGATGCCTCCATTGGGCCGATCGAGCCGGGCTTTACAGGGGTGTTGATGGACTCGATCTTCTCCATCTGTGTTTTGATCATCGCTCTGAATCCCACTATCAAGTCTTCCCCTTTTCTCAAAAACACATAAAATAACACTTAATTTAAACAGTTATTCTCTCTTAATTCAGTCATGTGCAAAGCATGCTGGGAACTAACAAGCACCACCCAGTTTCAGTTAATGCAACACAAATCATTCATGTAATCCAACACAAACGGAAACTTAAATTTTATATTTAAGCAGATTGAACACAATCAAATTAAGTTTGGACAAAATGTATGGCAATTGTGTTGCTTAAGCTCATTTTAATTAAGCAATTTGAACAAGCAGCAAAAATAATTTTTTTGAGTGTACCTGACATAATAAATTCTTACATTTGATTATTCTAACTGACTTTGACATTATTTCCAGTGAAGAGTTAAAGGAATATTCAAACATTCGCTTATATTTAATGATGCACAGATATCATTAAAAACCTTTTCATTGATGGAGTCAGATGAAATAACTAGAGAATACATATGAGAAAATGTATTGCATTTAATCAAAAATACTTTGCCATGAGAAAAGACAGTACACGCAGAGACCTTCACCCGCTGACCGGATGCCTCCATTGGGCCGATCGAGCCGGGCTTTACAGGGGTGTTGATGGACTCGATCTTCTCCATCTGTGTTTTGATCATCGCTCTGAATCCCATCCGGACGTAGTCTTTGACAAAAATGCGATTTTCTCAGCTTTCTGTTTAAAATGTGTTTTTTTTTTTAAATTAAACGTATGCTACCCACATTCAAGTGTTGATTAAAAAAAGTAAGCATGAAGCTAATAACATTTTTTTAAAATAGAAAAAGTTAAAGTACAAAAATCCCTAAATAGGAACATAGTGTATACTAGTGCAAAAATAATATATAAATAGTATAAATATGATGTTATGTTCACTTAAAGACAACATACAAGTGCTACTTGCAGTATAAAATTACTAAACTAGTAGTTTACTGAGAGTATACTTCAAAGTGTAGGCTACTTTCATAAACTAAAAAAATATGCTACAAGTATTTGACTAGTAAACATTCAGTATAGCTATAAGTTCACTTGCAGTGGAAACTAAAAACTTAGTTGTAAACTACTTGTGTACTCAAAGTTTACTAGCCTATACTGTAACACTTAGTACACTTTTATACAATAAAAGTGGGCAAATAGTCCCAACCAAGTATTGAAACTGTACACTTACAAGTAGGCCACTTCTAGTACATTGATAGTATAGGCTACTTACTACATAAAGTATATTTAAAATATACTTGAACTTTACTAAAGTAGCCTACTGAATTAAATTAACTTGAAGTAGGCCTTATTTTTCGTAAGGGTTGACTACACCGCTTCACACGACTGCACACTAACTTAATCATTCTGTTAGCATTTTAAATGTATCATGAAATACAAGCTAAATAGTTTATGAAGTGAAAGTTCATTCGTTAACAAGCATTATCTTGCAGATCTGAGAACTGTTACATTTTTAGGACGCAGAATTAGTCTTTGTAGTTATTACTCAATACGTGATAAAATAGTATTTGATACGAGTACGCTACACGGTACACACACTCCAACATGCGCTCTTCTGACTAACTGAGACAGTCGCAACCAATGATATTTCGTAATACAGAGGCGCGCCTCTGATTGGCCAGTATACGTGACCAATGACAGCCAGTCGTCCAATGAGAGTTGAGGATGATGCGACATGCCATCGCACTTCTCCGTCTGCTAGAAGCGTGAGGACCGTCTGGAGCGTAACGTGGGGGTAAGTCAAAGAAAACATTTTTTTTTAAATCGCGATTAGAGCTGAAGCCTCGTGGTTTGGAAATAGTCTATGTGGTTTTAAAGAGCTATAACGACTTCGTCGCAAGACTTTATAAGGTTTGAAACTGAGGTATTGAGAGATATGCATGCTGCACATGTGCATTGGGACATTTAACTGCCATTAACCATGCCATTAACACATGCATGACAGCACAGTGACAGCAACAAGACATGCTGCTCTTCTGGTGTGTTAACTTACGGCTGTTCAGGCTTCTTCTTTTACCAGAGTTTTTCTTTAGGTAGTTTTTCTAAAAAAATAAAAATAATAATAAAAAAAACACAGACCAACAAATAGACAGTTTACTTGACATTGACATTGATAAAATACAATTATCGGTTTATCACAAGGAAAGAAAAAGACACTTAAAGGTGTTTTTAATAACTCATAGGATATGTTTTTCTGTGATGCACACTTCGTGTTATGATTGACAGCTATGATTAACTGATCCACTTGTTTTGCAAACCACTCATATCATAATCATCCTCATCACCTACTTGTAATTCAAGCCATACTGGTGTTAGTCATACTTTTACGTGATTACTGCATCTTACAAATACAGAAAGGACATGTTACATAATTTATTATTATTATTAATCATATTTTTTACACCCACTGTAAACGTTTCTCTTTGAGCTTTGGTAAGGGGTGTCTAAAATGCAACTTTACTGCCGATGTTCTTAAAGAGATAGTTCCCCCCAAAATTAAAATCCTGTCATTATTTACTCCTGTCGTATTCCTGTCAGTCCAAACTTCAGAACACAAATGAAGATATTTTTAATGAAATCTGAGCGATTTCTGTCCCTCCATTGACAGCTACGCAACTACCACCTAGAGATCGTAAAACTAATTACTCGATCGCTTTATATGATGAACAGATTGAATTCAGGCTTTTATTCCAATAAACATTAATCAGCGAACATAAACAGAAGCTCAACCGAACCTGCTTGAAATGACACATGAGAATGAACCTTACTGGTTCTTCCTGAAGCTCAAACGTGCTGCGTAACACGAGAATGAACCTCATTGGTTCTTGATAAAACTCAAAAGTGCTGCGTAACATGAGAATGAACCTCATTGGTTCTTGCAGAAGCTCAAAAACATGAGATTGTACCTCATTGGTTCTTGCACGTCAAGCTAACTTGAGACTCTGTTTACCACAACTGATGTGTGCGTTGATGATTGTTTATATGTGAATAAAGGCCTAAATTCAATCTGTTGCTCATATAAAGCGATCGAGTCTCTTCAGAAAATTTGGTCTAAACCGCTCGATTCGTGTTGGATTAGTTTTACGATCTCTTTATGAACTTTTTGAAGCTTTAAAGTGGTAGTTGCGGTGACTGTCAATGGAGGAACAGAAAGCTCTTAGATTTCATCACAAAGATCTTCAATTGTGTTTTCGAAGATGAAAGAAAGTCTTACGGGTTTGGAAGGACATGAGATGTGAGAGGGTGAGAAATTAATGACAGAATTTTCATTTATGGGTGAACTATCCCTTTAAGACTCTAGAGACGCTAGCAACTTCAAATACATGTTTGCTGCTCAACCATGGCTCTTTTTTTTTATCTGCCTTTTTAATACAATTAATTTGTTTGACAGAAACTTCCCTTAAAGGGATATTTCACCCCAAAAAATTAATTCTGTCATCATTTACTCAACCTCAAGTTGTTCCAAACCTGTATTAATTTCTTTCTTCTGATGAACAAAAGGAAAGATATTTTGAAAAATATTTTGATGGACCCCATTGACTTCCATAGTATGGAATTCTGATGTGTTCATCAGAAGAAAGAAATGCATTCAGGTTTGGAACAACTTGAGGGTGAGTAAATAATGACAGAATTACATTTTTTGGGTGAAATATCCCTGTAATGAGCCTTTAACTGACTGAGTTCCTCTGTGCTCTGAATCACTCACAAATCTTTTGATAGTTTGATATTCTCTTTTCAGTTTTCACAAAATATTGCACCATTTCATGCTTTCATCTTCAGAAAGATCTTTCTTCCTCCATATTGCATGAAAACTGTGACTTGCTTAATAATGTGGAATAACTTTTTTAAGTAGGTTTTCCATTTACCTAAGTAGACCTGGCAAACTGCTTAACAAGCCTCTCTGAGATTGATACCAGTTATCCAAATGATATGAGTAAAACAAACACTTTCTTTGAAAAACTAAAATCTGAATGTTTATTGTACAGAAATCCTACTGAAATGTCACTTGCATAATAATTTGGAGCACAGTATATGCCTTTTCAATGTGAGCATGCCACTTGACTTACTTGTCTTATTTTTTTTCTTTGATAAATAGCTGAGGAGTGAAAATGGATAGAAAAAATGAAAAGAGTGAAGCCAAAGGTAGGTTTTTAGTGTTTTGTGTTTATATAATCGAAAATTATTCAAACCCCATTGCATATCATGTTCATAAACAACATTTACAGACTTTCAGCTGTTTGCAATGAACAAATCAAACAAAAGTAATTGAAATTGCTCAACACAACAAATGTTTCAAGTGGTTTCCCCAAATTCAACTGAAAATGCAACTTTTAATGATAATTCAACCCCCTGAAAAGAATCCCTCACAACAGTACAAATCTGCAGAACAGGTGTTGTAACAAGCACACCTGATGCAACCAATCAAGGGCTTCATTAGTTGCACCAGGTGTGCTTGAGCTAGAACACATGAAATCTGTGAACTGGCTCGGTTTGTTGAGTGTCACGTTTGACTGCATGTTAGAAATATGTTTAAAGGTAGGGTATGGGATTTGCAAAACGGCCGGCAGATTTTGAAAATGCACAACTCAAAAGGTCCTTCCTTCTTTCCTCCAACGCTGGCCCTGACTCCGCCCATTCGAAGAACATGGACGTGCAATCGCCCTTCACAAACAAGGAACAGGATACAAAAAGATAGTGAAGGCACTAAATAAAAAAAAACCCTTGAGTTACTGCAAAAGACCTGCAGCAAGACTCGGTTTCAGCTTGCACAGTATAGGCACGGACTAAACGCATGCGGTTTCTATGCCAGAACACCCAAGACATACACCACTACTGACCCAAAAGCACAAGAAAAGTGCTCAAAATCATATAAATAAGCCATAGAAGTTTTGGGATTCTGTTCTGTGGAGCGATGAAACAAAACTGTAACTTTTCGGCCTTATGGATCAGCGGGTCTGGATGAAGAAGAGTGAAGCATATGCTGAAGAGAACTCTGCCTACAGTTCAGCATGTGGAGCTCGGTGATGCTCTGCGGCTTTTACATCCCCTGGCACTGGAAACCTGCAGCGTGTGGAGGGCAAGATGGATTCATCGAAGTATCAGGAAATCCTAGAAGAAAACATCCTGCTGTCAGTGAGGAAGCTGAAGCTTGGGCGTCATTGGACCTTCCAACAGGACAACTATCCCAAGCATACCTCAAATTCCACCAAGGTTTGGTTGCAGAAGAAGACTCTACAGTGGCCATCACAGTCACCTGACTTGAACCCCATTGAAAATCTCTGGTGGCATTTGAAGAAAGAGGTTGCAGCATGCAAACACAAGGACATTACTGAACTGGAGGCCATTGCTCATCTCGTTTCCAGCAGGTCATAACAGCAAAAGGATGTTCTACGTAGTACTAAAGATGCTTTCCATGAAGGGGTTGAATAATTTTGAGACCGCAGAAGTCATTAAAAGCATTTTCAGTGGAATTTAGAGACACTTTACTTTTGTTTGATTTTTATTATTGCAAACGGCTGAAAGTCTGTAAATCTTGCCAATAAACCTGATTTGCAATGAGATTTGAATAAATTTGATTACAACTGTGTGTATGTGTGTGTGTGTGTGTGTGTATATATATATATATATATATATATATATTAGGGGTGGAACGGTACATGTATTCGTATTGAACCGAAACGGTACGGGCGTTGCGGTTCGGTGCGTGAATTTACACGGAGAATACATGGTATAAAAATAAATAAAATTTGCGTGCAAATTAATTAATGTAATGCGGAACTACTGTTAGATACGCGGGTTCTTTAGGGACACATAATCTGTAGCTCCGCCTTTTATCCAAGGGAGTAATCCATAGATATCCACAATAAACAAATGAACCGAACCTTGACTTCTGTGTACTGTTCCACACCTAATATATATATGTATTTATAAATATATATATATACACACACACACACACAGTTGTAATCGAAATTATTCAACCCCCGTTAACACGCTACATATATATATATATATATATATATATATATATATATATATATATATATATATATATATATATATATATATAGAGCGTTCAATGAAAATTTGACTTTTTTCTGGGAAACATAAAAAATACGTTTCTAAAACTAGGATTATATACGTTTCGATTGTATACATTTCTAAAACTAGGATAACGTTTCTAAAACTAGGATCATTTTATTTTTATGTTTCCCAGAAAGAAGCATATTTTTCATTAAATGCTAAGTTTTCTTTACCAAAAAAGCTATACGAATTTACAATAATTTATTATGTTTTTTTTAAGCAGTAATACCCTGAAATTATACAGCTATCTCCATGATCGCTATACATATGAGAGAATTGCTTTCATTTTTTTCAAGGGAAAGGAGGAAATAAACCTCCTCAGTCCGACAAACCAGAGGGCTTTTTACAAGTAGAAAGGTATGAAGCAATTTTATCCTCATGATTTTAGACAGCTAAGATGATAAATGAAATCACAGATTTTCACACTATTTGGTGGCTTAAATTCTGTATTTGATAAACCTAACATTTTGTTAAATTTCTTTTGTACAATATCTGTGAAGTTTCAAAAACTTGTGCTTCGTAAACTTTTGTAATGATGCTGAAAATTCAGCTTTGATCACAGGAATAAATTACATTTTACTATATATTCACATAGAAAACAGCCGTTTTAAATTGTAATAATATTTCACAACTTTTGGCTATCTAGAATACCGAATTTCAACCTCCTGCCCAAGAGCGTAAAGAGAAGAGTTTATGCCCTAAAGAGGCTCCAGCTCCAGAGTGCCAACATAGAGGCCAAGTTCTACGAAGAGGTCCATGAGCTTGAGAGGAAGTATGCTGGGCTTTACCAGCCTATGTTTGACAAGGTATGCAAACGAATCTCCGAATCTCTGTTCAAACACGCTCGGTGTAAGTTAGGTTGGAGCTGGTTTAAGTGTCACGGGCCCACCGGTGGGCCCAAATCCATTACATTTTTAAAACAGTAATATCATATACTAAACCTAAACTAATCTTGACAAACTATATATCATTTGAAAGCTTACAATCTCTAGTTTCCATATTTGGTGACTCCTAAGGCGTGTTCAGACCTTTATTTTGAAATAGCAATGAATATAAAAAATCATGAAAGAAGGGTAGAAACCTCAGTTTGTTTTCATGCCAAGAGTTCAAAAGATAGCATTCATTCAATTATTTTAGAAAAAAAGGTCTGAATTTTTTTTTAAATATAAAAAAAAAATTATATGATGTGGCAGGAAGCTAAAACGCACATGCGTGTTCTTTTTATGTTTCTTAGAGGTTGAAATCATATCAAAATCTGCCAAACTTCTCATATTACTTCTGAATAGGATGTCTACTTCATAAATTGTATGAAAATTGTGGAAATAATGGTTCATATCACTCAAAACACATTTGGAAATGGAGGCGCCCTTATATGGGCAGTAATGGAGACTCAAAGGTTGTCATCTAGTGAAAAAGTTTGGTACTGCGCCCAAACAAAATCTTACTGAAAGCTCATTTTTTGAGATATCAACCTAAAATTTTAAACACAACTTGTTCAGATTTTTGGCTTTGATTTTCTTTGCAGTTTTAGTCGCCCAGGTTTTAAAAATATGTATTTTATATAAAATATGGATAATTAAATTTTTTGCATTGTACATTTTCATAAACTCAAACTTCTATAACTTTTTTTCTGTTTCACTTTCTTAATTTATTTCACTTCTACAAAAATCTGCCAAATGTCTTCTTTAAAACAAGACCAATCTTACGTCTATATTCCAAAGCATTCTTGAATTACAACCATTTAAGTTCGAAATGTGCATTTTCATGTATATTCAAAAAAAGGGGGGTGACACTTAAAGGGTTAAAGTCCCCCTGTAGTCAATCATTTTATCCCTTAAAACTCATCTTTGATCACCAAAATGACACATTTAAATGTTTTTTCCTTGATTAAAAAATTATTAATGCCTATAAATAGCTTGAATGTAACTCTAAAGCCCTGTCTCATTTAGTATACTTGCTTCTATTAATATGCAAATGAGCCCCGCCTCCACTCACTCACACCAGCTCACAGATACAGTCGTTGATGATCACACGTTGACCTGATTGGTTATAAAGTAGTTTGACGTCAGAAACACCAGCGATTTAAAACCGCGTTTCTGAGACTGTCTTTGGTTCACTGCAGATTTAAAGAGAAAATACTCAGCAATGCTGTTGACTTATGAATTTACACATGGTTTGTCTTAAAGCATATTAAAAACACCATATAAACAGCATTGTGTATGAGTGTTTAAGTCAACAAATAGCCGACCGGTCTCATGCAAGCATGGCCATTTCCTTGGCTGGTGATGAGCTAGTAGTTCAACTTTTACCCACAATGCTAATACAGGGAGGCCAGCCTTCCTGTTACAGGGCTGTCCAAAGACATATTTTCAAGACCAGCATGAAACAGAATTATAAAAATGTTCTTTGGACAGGCAAATATGCTTCATTTTTGTCTTACATAATTGTTTGCGAATTGATTGCTATAAGTGTTGTTTCCTTGAAATGATGCCACATAACACAATGCTTCTTTGTTCAGAGACGGGAGATTGTGACTGGTGCTGTCGAACCCACAGATGAGGAATGCGAGTGGCAAAGTGACAAGGAGGAAGAGGAGCTTGCTGTAAGTAGATACTTGTGAGAATCCTGAAACCACACCATATCAATTGCAAATACCTATTTTCTTGGCAAACCTTTATATGGAAGCCCTCAGCTATTGAACTTTTCATTTAGAGATTGCGTGCCAATGGTCGATTTTATAAACCGATTTACACCCACAGGCAGATTTGCAGAAAAAAGCTGCTCTGGAGGAGAAGCAGGCCGATTCAGCCAGCGCCGTCGAGCCGAAAGGAATCCCGGAGTTCTGGCTCTCCATCTTCAAACATGTGGACATGCTTGGAGAAATGCTGCAGGTGAACTTTCACATCACTTCTGCTTAATGTTTTCACCAAAGCTTTCTCAGATGACATGTTTATATTGCAATCAGATTAACATTCGGACCTGTTTGGGGTTAATGAGTTACGGTTGATTAGTGTGAAAAATATGCTAATTTGGGTTTCAATGTGAATTTTAAATGGAATTTAACAGTAATTTGATGAAATAATAAAGCAATAAGCCATGCATTAAAGGGATACTCCATTTTTTTGGAAATAGGCTCATTTTACAACTCCCCCAGAGTTAAACTGTTGAGTTTTACCGTTTTTGAATCCATTCAGCCGATCTCCGGTTCTGGCGGTACCACTTTTAGCATAGCTTAGCATACATCATTGAAGTGGACAAGACCATTAGCATTTCTAAAAAAGAAAATGACCAAAGTGTTTCGATATTGTTCCTATTTAAAACTTGACTCTTCTGTAGTTACATCGTGCACTAAGACCGACGGAAAATGTAAAGTTGCGAGTTTCTAGGCTGATATGGCTAGGAACTATACTCTCATTCCTGCGTAATAATCAAGAAACTTCACTGCCGTACCATGAGTGCAGCAGGCGCAGGCACTTAGTCCCGGTCACGTTGGAAGTTACCGAGCTGGGGACTATTTTCAGTCGCTGCGTCATATCATTACGCCTGCTGCTCTCATGGTACGATGTAACTACAGAAGAGTCAAGTTTTAAATAGGAAAAATATCGAAACACTTTGGTCATTTTCTTTTTGAAAAATGCTAATGGTCTTGTCCACTTGAATGATGTATGCTAAGCTATGCTAAAAGTGGTACCGCCAGAACCGGAGATCGGCTGAATGGATTCAAAAACGGTAAAACTCAACAGTTTAACTCTGGGGGAGTTGTAAAATGGGCCTATTTCCAAAAAAAGTGGAGTATCCCTTTAAGGCCCTGATATACTCACTGCGAAGGTCCTTTTTTTTTCTTCGACGGAACTGTTAGCAAACATCCCAACTGCGCCCACACTGCTGAGAGCGACGTTTAGATTAATATGTAAATATGAGCTGTGCGCTTTCCTTTCAATAACAAAATAAACGCAAAACAAAAATGAGAGCAGTGAGAAAACAGCAGTTAAGAAAGCATCTGATCATAACAATGTAGATATGTTTGCACAAGCTCTGCAATTCGGCACTCCAGTAAAGTCACGTCACGTTTATTTATATACCACTTTAAATACAATAGATTGCTTTAAATCAAGCAGCTTTACAGTATTAAACATGAAAAAAACGTATCACTATCGCTTTCAATTAGAATTACAACTTTATTTTCTACTATAAGCGACTTCATGTTCATATTTTTACCCGTGGTCGTCTGACCTCGAGGGACTGAACAGAACTAAACCAGAGAAGATTTCCACGTCAAAGAAGGCGGAGACTCAGAGCCACACCTACCTATTACATCATAACCACTGACCAATGGTAGTTTGCGCTGGCAAGCTGGTCCGAACTCCAGAAACGAACACCAAACAAACCAAGTTTTGGCCTGATGTTGTTTGAAATGACGTCGCACCAGTTTATTTGATTTTGCGTGAAGTATGTTGGGGCCCTTAAAAGTGAATTTGCCACAGTTTAGGGCTTTTGTTATGCACAGCATGAACTTGTTGGCATCCTTCTGTCTTCGAGAGACAATGGTTTAGAATCTGCACCCAGGTCAGTCTGTGGTTTGGTTGCAGACTTTACTATGACTGTAGAGTCCGATACGGGAGCAACAGCACCGGTGGCACTTGCTACAGGTGTAAGCAGTGGTGATGTCAATGGGAACAGGCTGAACGCTTTCCTGCCGACGAGTCCTCTTCTCCTCCCACTGCATTGCTCTTTTTTCTTCAGCTAAAAGGACACCAGTCTTAATGGTGGATCGCCAATTTTCGCGGTCCGATGTCACTGCTTCCAAATCAGCCGGACAGATGCTGCAACGTTTTCAAGTCTCGCTTGCAGGCGTCCTTGTAGCGCAGGGTTGGCCATCCAGATGGTCGTGTTCCTGTGGCAAGCTCCCCGTACAGAACGTCCTTTGGGATACGACCATCATCCATCCTGCACCGGTGACCAACCCAGCGCAGTCGCCTCTGTGTAAGGATGGTGAACATACTTGGCATACCTGCCTGGGCCAGGATGGCTATGTTTGTGATACGATCCTGCCAGGTGATGCTCAGGAGTCGTCTGAGGCAGCGCATATGGAAGGCATTCAGTCTTTGCTCTTGGCGAGAATATATTGTCCAAGCTTCACTGCCATAGAGTAGGGTGCTCAAGACGCATGCTTGATACACCTTCAGTTTTGTTTTGAGTGTCAATAGAGTGTTATCCCAAGCCCTCTTTGCTAGTCGAGCCATGGTGGTGGCTGCTTTGCCTATCCTTATATTGAGCTCAGTATCCAAGGATAGGTTGCTGCAGATGGTGGAGCCAAGGTATGTGAAATTCTCCACTACCTCCAGGGTGTGGTCGCTGATAGTGATTTCAGGAGTGGTGTTGACATCTTGCACCATTATTTTGGTTTTCTTGATACTGATGGCAAGGCCAAACTCTGTGCATGCATCTGCAAAACAGGTGATAAGTCGCTGGAGGCTACCCTCAGTGTGTGCAGCTAGAGCAGCATCATCTGCAAACAGCATCTCCCGTATGAGTACCCTGCGGACTTTAGTCTTTGCTCTGAGGCGGGCAAGGTTGAAAAAAGGTTCCCGTCTAGGGGTGGGCGATATCTCGATATTTAAAATATATCGAGATATTTTTTAAACACGATATGGATTTTGACATATCGTATATATCGATATATTGTTTATATTTAATCCTGATTTTGCCACTTTGCTAGTTTGCCTTCTCTGTGCTGTGCTCGCCCCCGCCTCCTTGCTTTTGTTCCCCCTCACCTCGCGTGTTGTCTCATTCAACAATTGTCTCATCCGCAACCAGCCCGGAGGCTACAGAACTCCGAGTGTGTCTGCGCGCGAGCGACAGAGCACGAGAGAAACCGAGTGTGAGCATTAATTGCATTAGTAAATTGGTAACCTACATACTACAATATATAATTACTATATAAGAGGCATGGAAGTTCGATTAATGGACTCCAGTAATCAGAAGGCTACTACAAACGTCTTGTTTTAAACTATTGCAGGGCTCGAATTTCGGCGCGGGTATTGCGCATAATTCTAATCATTCCCGCAGGTCTCCCATTTATAATGCGGGAAATTCCCGCAATCGTAATCCACACAGATTATAAAATCAAATCATTCTTTTAACAACTATCTGCCAGACGCAATTTCACAAACAGCGTGAGTGTTCAGCGGTGCCGCTTCTTTCTCGTCTCTCATAATGTGTTGTGCAAGGCAAGCATCAAGAGCTGCGGCGATAAAACACACTCGCGTTTAGGAGTCGGGACATGATGGATATTCACTCGCACAATCGGGCCAGCAGTGCATCGTGACTGAAGTTTACCATTTGCACGTCTTTTTAAGTCTTACCAGTTTAAACATTCAAGCGATTTTAAACTAATCAGTGCTCGCGCGCTCTCTGAGAGATTATTTTCTATGCGCACATTCATAGAAAATCCGCCTTAAGAACAGCTGGCCAGTAACAAAAGTTATTTTTCGCGGATTATATTGCTTTAACACGCAAAATTGTCAATTTCGGTCGTCGTGAGTATACTCTAAACATAGTCGGTTTTGTCTTTAATAAGCATAAAACGCATGCCAGTATAATGAACACAGGATCCGTGCACTAGCTCTTAAAGTGACGGCAGCCATATGTGTGTCATTCATTTTGTTGTCAATACAACAAAAGATAGCTTTAAGTTAAAGGAATCAGGATTAATAACCTATGTATTTAATTTATTCAGGACTAAAATACTACTCAGTGTTATTTTCCTTTTGATTTCTTTATTCAGTTTCTGTATATGAATCACGTGATTAATAATGATGACTAAATTCAGGCCCTGTGTTTAATTTTTCTCATTTGGTTACATTCTGTTATGGAAAATTAATTTTCTATTGATTGTAGGCCTATATTTTGAGTTGTATTCACATCCATTTTCCTGTAAAGATATCGAGATATATATCGAATATCGAGATATAGCAAAATATATCGAGATATATTTTTTGCTCCATATCGCCCAGCCCTATTCCCGTCACTCCTAGTATGGAGGAAGATCCCGTCTTCAGAGTTGCAGAAGGCATAGCGCAGGAGCAGGGAGAAGAACACGCCAAAAAGTGTTGGCGCCAGAACACACCCCTGCTTCACACCGCACTTGATTGGAAAAGGGTCTGAGGATGACTCGCCATTAGTGTTGCACGGTGCACCGATACTTCAAAAGTATCGCGATACTCGGAAATTAAAAACTTCACGATACCTAAATTTATTAGTATCGATACTTCTAAGAATGACCGCGTTCCAGATTTGTAAGAGAGTATTGCATGTTGGTGTGTGCAACGCACGCTTCCAGTGCCTCCCTATGGACGTCTGCGTTTTTCTCCTCATGCGCGTGTGACAGGGCGCGTGAACTGAACGAGCAGAGAGAGAGAGAGAGAGAGAGAGAGAGAGAGTGAGCGAGCCCCGGTAATAAACAAGGCTTCACCGTCTCAAAACTAAGCGCTGTCTTGCTCTCTCTCTCTCCCTCGCACATATTAATCAAAATAATTCGACACGATGGTAAGGTCGGGAGACTAAAGTTTCATGTGGAGCATTCGGAGTTTTTTTTCTTTTTTTTTTCTGAATTACCGCTGGGTGTAAATTGTGGTAAAATACGTTGCCTTATCTTCTCTGAATCGTTCCGCACATTCAGCTGACATAAACCACACTTTAAATAAACGAAAAAAACTATCCAGTCATGAAATGTTTTCTGTGATGACAGTGGGATGTAACCGCCTGGATAATCACACAACGCGCACACGTCCGATAATGACACGTCCAATTCGCGAACTAATGACTCATTTGAACCGATTCGTTTTAATGAATGGTTAAAACAACTGATCTGTCTGAATCGGTGTATAAC